GGCAACCAGAATTTTAGTGCCATTTATACCAGAATGTGTAGTAAAATAGGAACCAACTAGAATTCTTATGGAACATTTTGTGGAACAATGAATTACACACGCTATCAAATGCAAGAAAACCACTCTACGAACAGGGATACCACTCGCACAATCGCCCTTCCTGGTTCAGCCCACAATGTCGTCCGGAAAGGCGATAAGAGGTTTGATGCGCGACGCGCTCGACGCGCTCGACGCGCTCGGCGCCACGGGGAAGGACCCGCCCCTCCCCTCCCTCCGAAAGGCAGGTCAGGAGGTCACGGCCTGCTCGGTGGGCACCGCACACACCACGCCAGGCACGCCACCGACTCCAATCCCCGGGCCGGACAAAAACAAATAGCCGCCGGTCAAGTTACGCGCAAAACGTCCCATTCCTAATATTTCACGGCGCGGGAACTCACTTTGGCGCAAACGGGTGGCGCTGGAGCGAGCGCTGGAGTCCCTGCAGTCCGGCCACATTTCTCTGCCGCACCTCCAGAGCGAGGCCGTGGTGGCGGCCGAGCCCCATTCGACCGCTATTCCACCTCGCGCGCCGCGGACCTATCTTAAATTTCGCCCAAACGACAAACCATAAACGTTCTCCGTGCTTTCTTATTTACTCCATTTTTCTCTTTTCTCTCTCTTTTGCCCGCGCAGTGAAAAATCTAGGCCGAAAACGCGGTCAGAAGCACCCCACCCCCTCCTCGAACCTGGCCCCTAAAGTGTTATCATGACGTTCTGATACGACGGAAGACACCCTGAAGGCCTGACGGCGTCCAAGCCGCCCCTCGCAGGAGAGGTCACTCTCGGCCTCTTTCACTCGACTGCCCCCCGCTGGCCACCGCTGCAGACTGATTCCGAGGGTCGTTTTCGCCGCTGTGCTTCTCGCACCCCTTCGGAGCGCTCCAAGAGTGCGGGAGAAACAGAGCGACGAAAACGACTCTCGGAATCAGTCTGCTGGCCGGCCGGCCCAGGCCAGGCCAGGCGTGCCACGCTGACCGCGCGGGGGAAATAGGAAGTCTCCCCAATCTGCCCCGCCCCCCCTCCGTCTTGCTCTTCGGCCCATAAAGCCATGATTTACGCTGCGGCCGTGCGTGCAGCCCATGGCAGCCCATGGCAGCCCATGGCAGTGCCGCACCGTCTCAGATACCACTCGCGGACCTAACAAGCGACATTTGGCGCGCTTTGCCCCGCGTTTTGCACTTTTTCTCTCGCGCTTTGCACTGGGAGAGCGAGAGAGACAGGAACACCGTGAGGCGCCGCTGGCAGAGTCTAGGCCAGGGCTAGGCTGATTCCGAACGTCCCTCTGCCTCTCTCGCGCTCATGGCGAGTGCCGATGATGTGCGAGAGAGACGTGGTGGCTTCGAACGGGCCAAGTCCGCGAATAATGATATGAACGGCGCAAGTGCACACAACAGGCGGGGGAGGGAAGGACGGCCGCCGTTTGCATAATGCATGGCAAGACGTTATTGGCCGAGGCAGCGGGGAATGCAGCCATGTCGGCTCGCGTGCCGGCGAGTGATCAGTGCCGTGCCGTGGCGTGGGCCGTGCCTTGCAGTGTGGTTCGCGAATCAAAACAGTCAATTTGGGGCTATTTAGGTCTCCATTACACTGCCGGCCGTGGAGCCGCCGGCGCTCTCAGCGCCCTTATCACGGAGCCTTTTCCTCCACTCATTATTTGCCGAAGGGCTGAGCGCGCACAGTGGGCCAGAAGACCGGCGGAGGCGGCCGAAACTCTAGACGCGTTTTGAGCTCCAGACTCGCTAGGACTCGAACCGAGCGTTTGATCCCACCAATGGATTGCTCTCCGAACGAGGAATCCATTTGGTGGGGTCAGAAGTTTGGTTCGAGCCCTGTGTAGCGACTCTGGAGCTCAAAACGCGTCTAGAGTTTCGGCCGCCTCCACCGGTCTTCTGGCCCACTGTGTCGCGTCACGTGACGAGAGCGCGACAGCCCGCGTGGCGGTGCGGGGGGAAATGCGGATCGCGATAAGCTGAACCGCGTTTGGCGGGGCATCGCCTCGACAAGCAGCGCGGCGCGATACAGGTAAAGAATTGCTGGCAAAGCAGAGCGCGGCCTCGTCCAACAGCAAGGAGCAAATCGGGTGCGAGAGAGACAGAGCGGTGGTGCAACTCAAAAGCAGCCTGCAGGGCGCGACGAGGCGGCGACGTCGCCGTCATGAAAGGCGGAACCTTGTTCCTCGTGCTTGTTCCGTGTTCCCACCCTGGTGCCAACTCGAGAAGGGCCCCTTCGCCGAGGCCTTCGCCGAGGCCTTCGCCGAGGCCTTCGCCGTCCTCGAGGTCCCTGCCGATAAACGCCGCCAATTACGGCCTCGTTAAGGCGTGCCGTGCCTGCCCTGCAGACTGAGAGTCGTTTTCGTCGCTCTGCCTCTCTCGCACCCATACGGGGCGCCCCATGAGCGCGAGAGAGACAGAGCGACGAAAGCGACTCTCGGAATGAGTGGGCGCCCCGGCGGCCGCGGCCCAAACCCCGCGGTTCACGTGTGGGGCTGCCCCTCGGGCTGCCCCACTGGAAACACAACGGCGGCCACGCAAATGACGCGGCGCGATAACGACTATAAATTGGAACCATTTTCCCGGCGAGAAAAGAGGGAGTACCTCAGGCAAGCAGCAGGTGTCGCTCTGTCTCTCTCGCACTCACGGGGCTCTCCGTAAGGGTGCGAGAGAGACAGAGCGACCAACCGATTTCCTGAACCCCTCGGCGGCAGCGCTTTCGCGAGCGCAGACTCATTCCGCTGCTCGGCAAGCTTCGTGTCGCCATGTCTCCCTCGCACCGCAACGAAACGCCCCACGAGTGCGAGAGAGACAGAGCGGCCGTTCGGACGGAGCGAGCCTGCAGCCTGCCTGCTGACGGATGGCGCTCAAAGAGGGCCACGTTTGTCTTGGCCTTCGGCGCGAAACGCGAAACGCGCGGACGGGGATCGGAGTAGGCTTTTATTCCGGACGCCCACGTCCTTCCACTCCAGGCAGTCTGTCTCTCTCGCACTCAGGGGCGTCCCGTAAGGGTGCGAGAGAGACAGAGTGACGAAAACGACTCTCGTAGAATCAGTCTGCAGCTTGCGCTCCACCGCAGTGACCGCGGCGTTGCAGTCGATTCGCATACTCTCGCGCGCCTGCAGCTCTCGGCCGTGTGCGGCCGCTTCTCTCTCAGCGTCTCTCTCGCACCCGTGGGGCCGGGGCCTCAGGCAGGCGCGCGTGTGTGTGTGTGTGTGTGTGAGAGAGAGAGAGCGACAATAGTACTGTTCGAACTGCAGTCCGTATGCAGTGCGCTGCTGCAAGGCCGCGTGATGAAGACATTATTGCGTGCGCTGCACGCGTGCAGTCCATGTTAATCCGATTGGGGGGGGGGTCGTTACCGTGATTGCACGCGTGGGCGTGACTGCGTGACTCTGTGGAGGTATCGACGCGTTATTGGCACTCGTCGGCATGCATCGGCATGCATGCACCCTCCGCGCTGCCTCTCTCCCACAGGCGCCCCACACTGTTGAAGTTTTGTTTTCACTTTATAAAGAGCTCACTGCAGAAATTTTCGTTGCGCCAATACCAAGCAGTGATCCTTCTAGGCCACCACAGTACGCGACGAGGCATGCTCATCGTTGTCACACATGTAGGTGCACGGGTTGTTGGAGCCTCCCGGTGCACTCGAACCTGCTCGGAATCATGATTCCGGAGAGTCGTCTCCGTCGTCGTTCTGTCTCTCTCGCACTCATGGTGCGCCCCGAATAGGTGCGAGAGAGACAGAGCGGATGAAAACGACTCTCGGAATGAGTCTGCTGGAAGCGCTGGAGCTGCATGGCCTGCTCGGGAGGAACAGCCTCCAGCCGCAGGTGACGGCCGGGCAGCCCCCCCCCCCTCCCCCTTCCTTTCCAGCCTCACCTGGCCGGCCGGCCGGTCGTTGGGCCGCTCCGACGACGCAACCGTGAGATTAAGACATTACACTTGCTGGCCGTGGCGTGGCGTGGCCTGCCTGCCGTGCCGTGCCTGCCCCGCCGGAGCTCGACTTGTTCACGGCTGAGCCGAGTGTGGCTTCGGTTCGGGCGATGGCCGCCAGGCGGAGCCACGGCCCGGGATCGCGTCGTCAACATCGGCGCCCCGGAACAAAGACTGAGCGCGCGCATCGGAAACGAATGGATTTGAGTGAAAACTGTGCGTCGCAACCGCAAACCCACGAAAGCGGTACATTTTTCTCCCTCCCTCGACCCCCCAAAAGGCCTGCAGCCCCCTGGTGTCACCTCGTCCAGACCCTTCGGCAAAAGCTAGAGTGTAATTCCGAAATGTGCGGCGGACGCCGGAAGGTAGGCAACCCCTTCTGCGCATTGCCTTACTTGATAGCTTTTTAAAAATCACTCTGTGCTTTTAGGACCCACGCAGTTTGCGGCGTATGGCGTTGTGGTGTGAGGCCCGTTTGACGCTCATTGGCGAAGACTCCCTCCCCTCCCCCTCCCCCACCCCACGCTACGTGTGCCCGCCAAGTGACAACTCCTGAATGAAATTACCGCCGGTATTCCATTTTGGTGTCGCTGCCAAGTAATGGGGTGTCGGGCCCGATTTGGGATCCTCCCGGACTCCGCGGAGCTCTTGGCCAAATTTAATCCGATGGGCCGCGAAAGCGGAGGCAAAACGGGAGGCGACTCGCGGGGTGCACCTCCAAACGGGCTCACCTCCTAACGGGCTGCCCTAAAGGGGCTGCACTGGAGGGGATTGCAGTGCCCCGGACGACACGACGCGGACGACGCGGACGCTGCTTGCAGGGAAGCAGCAAACCGTCAAGAAAACCCTTCAAGGCCCGAGCGGCAAATGTGAGAATAGTGGAGAGCGGGCTCATGTGAGCTCTCAACCATGGAGAATACGGTATTTACAACAGAGGATAAAGTGAATGAGAAACATGCTATATTCAACGAAAGTGGAAACCAAGCCCCCTTTTCGAATAATGGCGGGGCTCGGGCGCGACGCCGACGGGCGACGGTGCTGCCGTGTCGCGGCATCGCTGCGAAGCGCAAGCAATACACAGTTGTGTTAGAGTGGAATCACCAATCAATTACAATTTAATTGCTGGACGAACCTTGCGATCGTTTCTATCAAGGAGCCAGAGAAAAGGCCGAACACCAGTTTCTTGGCCAAAATGTTGCATAAAACGGACGTGTCGAACTTGGTAAATTTCAATCTGACTTAGTGTTATAACCTCGTCAAACATGTGGAACAGATTTTCGAAAACTAGTTTGCTGTTGTTTGCTGTTTTATTTCCTGTCGTTGTCAAATAAGCCCTTTCTTCTTCATTCTGATTTTCAGATTACAGGCCTTAGACCTAAATTAAAACAAGCTGTCACATACTTAGCCCACCATAATTCCAAAGAGATTACGAAGCTTGAAGCTCGAAAAGGAAAGGATGCAGAGAAATGCAAAAGGAAAGCTGAAAGGTTGCGTTTGGAAACATTGTTCCTTCGGGTAATTACACTTAAAGTAGTACTGCTTTCTTGGAGTTTCGAGATACACTTGTTAAAAGACATTAATTTGTTGATTTACTTAGAAAATTGTACTAGATGAAGTTAGCAAGTACGCATTGAAGATGGACTTCTCACAACGCCAGAAACTGCTCGATGATGTTTGTATTCAAAGATTGTCTTATTGATTCTTATCTACTTCTCATTGCCTTTTGTTAATTTATTATTATTGTTATTATTACTGTTCATTTAGATTAATTTGCCTTTAGAAACAAAGGTGCTGGTAAAATTATCTACTTCCAAAGATGTAGTTTCCTACTTGGAAAATTTTAGATCAACACACCCTGAATGGAAAGAAAAACTTCCTGGTCTCATTGAGACTCTAGGTATTTTCACACGAAACAAGAAGAAAGTTAAAAAGAATATAGAAAAATCAGAACGCAAAATGGCAAGGAAACAGGTATGTTTTTATTCTTGTATCCTCTTTGTTTTACAATGCTTTGAACATTTTTAATTTCTTACATTTGATTCTCATTCTAGCTAAATGCTGAGAACAACACCTCAGTCTTGTCAAACGAACACAAAGATGATGAAAAACTGAAAGTTTCAACTGTCAAAGCAACAAAGAAAGTTGCTAATAATCAAGCTACTCCAACAATTAAAACAAGTAGCAAAAAGGCCAAAAGTGGTAAAGTTGCAGAAGACAGTGAAGGCAGTGATGGGGAGGACAGTGAGGAAATCGGTAGTGATGGGGAGGACAACGAGGAAATTGGCAGTGATGGAGTGGATAGTGGGGAAATCGGCAGTGATGGAGAGGACAGTGAGGAAATCAGCAGTGATGGAGAGGAAAATGAGGAGATTGGCAGTGATGGAGGGGACAGCGAGGAAATCAGCAGTGATGGGGAGGACAGTGAGGAAATTGGCAGTGATGGAGAGGATAGTGAGGAGATTGGCAGTGATGGAGAGGACAGTGAGGGAATCAGCAGTGATGGAGGTGACAGAAAGAAAATTGGTAGAACGATAAACAAGGATAATACCAAACCACTCAAGAAGAAAAGAGAAACTCATGCCGCTAGTGGAAGTATGATTGCTGAGGTGCGCCGGTTTGCTGATTTACAGAAGGAAGATAATTCAGAAAGGTGAGGAAATAAAGTTGTATCATAGTAAACATCAGAAATCAACATAGTAAATCTTTTCTTACTGAAAAAGTAAAAAAAAATGTTATATTTTTATATTTTCAGAAAATTGAATGCCATTTCTTCAATACCATCAAGTTCTGGCCCGATTGAAAACGTACCAGTTGAAGAAGATAGCTTCTTCTTGACAGGAGGAAACAGCTTCCTAAAAACAGTTTCTGTAAAACGTGCAGATGGAGAAGGTCTTGATAGAAAATCTTGGTCTGAAAGTAGTAAAAACCTGTCTGGCAATAGAAGGCAACGACGTGCACAGTTTACAGGAAAAGACTCTGACCAAATTAAACCTAAATCCTTTAAAAATAAATTTGATAAAACCCATGAAAGAAAAAGAAATACCAATGCCAGTGGTGAACACTTTTCCAATAATATCAAAAATAATGTAAATGATGTTTCAAAGTTTAATAGGAAGAACTTTAGCAACAAAAACACAGGAAACTATGAACAATCTAATGAAGGTGAGCCTTTTCGTTAAATGCAGTTCTTACGTAGTACTATCACTCTCCAAAGATATGGGCCCTGTGATGGACCATGAGCTTGGCACTGCTCATTTGGTCAGTATGTAAGTCTTTTGGACACTGAGTGTCGCCTGGCTCATTTCTTTTGAGAATGATACTGTAGTTCTAATAATATTTTGTTTGCTCATCCTACACATTGGTTTTCAGATGAAACTTTACACCCATCTTGGGCAGCTAAAAGAAGGCAAAAGATTTCTTTGAATTCTCCTCAAGGAAAGAAGATTGTGTTTAAGGACAACCAAACTACAGGATTAAATGTCCCATCCAGTAAAGGTGAGTGTTTTGCTTTAATATTCAGCCAATTGTAGTCTGTGTTCTTCTGTATTTGTTTATTACCTTGACATTTTCTATTGCAGATGAAACCTTACATCCTTCTTGGGCAGCCAAAAGAAGCCAGAAGGTTTCTCTTGACTCTTTCCAAGGGAAGAAGATTAAGTTTGATGATGATTGACTAAACAATCAAAGACTGTATTTTAAGTCTTAAAACAGATTAGTGTGTTAATGTTTTGCAAATAAGAAATCCTTCAAATGTAACCACTTTTTGTAGAACAAGTTTAATTTTCTTGACAAAATGTTATTGTGGATGATGCTTTCTTTTCAGAGTGAATATATAATGAACTTCAGACAACTGAGCAAAATACAATTATAAAACGGGACTTCCAGAGTCTAAATCAATATACTGTAGTTTCTTTAATTCAATCCAAATTACCCCACACTTACAATGAGTGCAGAGGTAACAAATCTTTGTTTGACTGACCTTTACAGACTTTCAATTGCTGCTACAAAGCTAGTGAAAGGTTTTCATTAATTTGTTTGTTTAGGCAAGATTTTGCTGCTCTGAAGTGATATGCCTCCTCAGTTTTGTTTCTCTGTATTCTAAGATTGTGCAATTGCCAACATACATGGCATTTTTTCAAGACCACCAAGTTCTGGCCCATTGAAAATGTAGCAGTTGAAGAAGATAACTTTTTCTTGACAGGAAGAAACAGCTTTCTTAAAACAGTTTCTATAAAACATAGGGATGGAGAAGTTGTGGTCTGATGTAGGTAATGACCATGCCGGCAATAGAAAGCACAACATGCCAAGTTTACAAAGAAGAAATTCTTTGAATGTAACTACTTTTCAGGGAACCAATTTAATTTTCTTGACACAAGATTGTTGTGGATGATGCTTTCTCTTTCAGACTGAGAGTACAATGAACTGCAGGATACTGAGCAAAATACAATTATGCATAAAACATGACTGAGAGGGTCCAAATCAATCTCAATATAATATTCTTTCATGACAACCCAAATTACTCCACATGTAAATATGGGTGAGTTGCACAGATAACAAAGTGTTGTTGGACCAACTGTCAATTGCTGCTGCAGAACCAGTGGAAGACTGTCATAAATTTGATAATTTGAGCAAAATCTTGTCATACCGAAGTGATACCCCTTCTCAATTTTCTTTCTCTGTATACTAAGATTGTATCCTAAACTGTAAACTGTTCTCAGTGCTAGCTCTAACAGAGAGGGTACAGAAGGCTGACAACCTTGGCCTGAGGAGATCAGTTTCAATCGTGAAGGCAGTACAAGTGGCACCCCATTTCCAGGTGAGTTGTCTCTCACTCTTATATCTCCAATGGGAACCCGGGATGGGCCGAGCACAATGCAGAAACATCTGTGAATATTTCATCAGAATCTTTGTCAAAATGCATTGAAAGTAGAAGATCACTTCGATTGGTTTTATTCTGGCAGATGAAGTTCTTTTTTAGTAAAACTAATAACTTACCCTTGAGCTCTTGGCAGATTCCATGGACTTTCCGGATTAAAAATACCATTGCTTTTTGAAGAAATCTGTTGACCCTGCCATATTGATAAGTAGTTGAGGTTGCAGTTATTTTCAAAGGCAATGAATGGATTGGACATGAATGGGAGAAACGGCAAGTAAAGTAGCTTGTTTCCACAAACAGAAAGCATGCTCAAATGTGGAAGATACACCTGCAATCAAATTCAATCTTTTTTTTTTAGAAAGTGTGGGTCTTTCATTGTTTATTAATCTCGTTTCTTCATAATGGATACTTTACTTACAATGTTGTCAGGTAAACTTGTTAAACAATTGTTGTCAAAGTTGATTTCTTGTAAGCCTCTGCACTTTAATATAGGATCTGGAATTCGCTTAAAACTGTTACAGCTGAAGTCCAAAATTTGAAGAGATTGCAGCATCTGAAAGTCTGTAAAAGAGAATAAGTCAAATTTTATGGTTCAAAATTAGAACAGTTGGCTCGAATGAAACCCACCATCTGGAATGCAACTCAATGCATTTTTAGCTGCCAAGAAGCAATTTAATCTGTGCAAGTGCCCTATTCCTGCAGGTAAGTTACAGATTAAGTTACTTGTTACATCTAAAACGGTGAGCTGTGACAGCTCTCCAAGTTCTTCAGGCAAACACACTAGTTGATTGTGTTGCAGGTACAAATTTGTTATATTTTTTAATTTCCCGATCCAATGAGGCTGCAATTAACGGAGATATTAATTAACATAAATAAACTAATCTACATTATAATTATCCAGTGTCATAGATTGACTGCAACTTACCAAATGTGATAACTTGTTCCATTTCAAATATATTTCATTGATGTTTTGACCGTTTTTCAACACTTTTGGCATTTTGACATACCCTCGGCAGTTCCAGTGCAGAATCCTTTTTTCGACAATTTCTAGGGCCAAATTTTCCATTTCCAAGAGATCTTGCATTTTGAATGTAAACAAACTGACATTCGCTTGGTGAGAAGTAGGTTAAGTTTATTTTAGTTGACCCTTTCTTGCTGCTGGCACCCAGCCAAACAACTGAGATACTAGGGAAGACCAAGGGTAGGGTAAGAGGGGGAGAGGGGCTGGGCGGCTGGGCTAGGGGGCGGGGGGCAGCATTGGTGGGGAGGAAGGGGACGCGGGGAAGGCGGGACCCCAAACAATGTCCACCAATAATGGTCTGTCTCTGTCTATCCACTTGATTTTTCCCCTTCTTTAGTTCAACCACTTTGATAATTTTTAACTACATTGTGGGGTTACTGTAGGGCTGCACAGCCAATAATTCTCGCGCAGCTTTCTGAACCATCGACGTTCAAATCAACGACAGTTCACGTCGTTTCGTCGTTCCGAGTTTGAGATGGCATCGCATCGCGTCGCGTTCTTTCTACAGATGTTCAACCAGCCTCTTGAGAAGGGTTTAGATTCTGCGTTATTCGCCGTTCTACCCAGTAAGTAATTTATTGTTCTGTTGTTTGAGAATTACGTCTCATTTTATGTGGTCTGGTTTTAGCATTTTAGTGGTGTTTCCTAATAAACTGCTGTCTTTGGAGTATGGTGTGCCTCCCCCCTAAATGAAAAATACTAAGTTTCATACAGTGAGTTTAATGAAATAAATTCCATTATTTAATGAAAATCAGACAAAGTTTGCAAGTAACTACACAGAAGTAAATAAACTACAACACAGAAAACAAAAATGGAAGGACAGTTGAATAAATTTCAGTTACAAAAGGTACCTATTTTTTCAGTACAATATAAAAATCACTTATCTTGAATAAAATTGATGGCTGTAAGTAGTGGCCATTTTATATAAAAGACTACAAATAATGGACGGCAATCATCTTCAGTGACAATCTTAAATGAGCTAGAACAGAAGCCTCAGGAAAACATGAGTACAACTGTCAGAGAAAATCATTCACCCAGTAGTAAAATAATGGTTTTAAGTATAAAATTTCCTAAAAATATTCCTTTGGACGGAATCTTCATTTACACCAACCAACAAGCACAAAATCTATGGCAGCATGTATAACATCACATACAAGTAATGAGAGTCAATCAGTTCATGAGGGTGATCAATGCATAATAACACTAGCCTCACCTTAACATACTGGAAACATACTGTGAATACTTAATTATAACTCCACTTGTGCCTTCAACTAGTAGTTAACATAAAACATTCTTGAAATTATAGAATCCTCTCCTCTTCATACTTCCAGGGAATTCACTAGAAGCTGGCAAAACTATAATTCCACAAGATTTCATACTTAATGGAATGAGAACACAGAATCGCATGACAGAAAATACAAACAATGACAGATAGGGGTGGAAACATAACCAGTAATGAAACTGTTAGATATGAGGAGCACAAAATAAAATTCATAGACTTAATAAACCATAAGATCTTTGCCAAAATGTACAAAAATAATTACAAACAAGCTTTTTAAAACATACTACTAACAAATAAAAGTTAGTTAAGGCACTAAGACTCCCTCCCTAAAAACATTGATAAAAAAAAAGGCACTAAAGGTGCCAAAAGTACACAAAGCAAATTTGTGCAATATCAAAAAATACTAAAAATACTGGACAGCCTTTGTGAGTATCTATCAGCTTTAAAGATTAACTTTGCTATACAAGTGTTTTTGCTAAAATTGTATTTTTAAGGAATCTTACTTTACAACAAGGGCTCTACCATGAAAAATAACATAAAGTAGACAATGGTTTTGCCTTAATTTATTTGCTAGTCAGAGTATTTTGAAATGAAACTATTTATAATGTACCTTGATTGTGCCTGCTTTCAAAAAATGAAGCTGAGATTGCAATGATATATGGTAACTTACATCTACTCTTTTGTATTCATAGACTTTGATTTCATCTGATTTAGTTGTGCAAAGAACTGAAAGAAAATTTTAAGTATTTGAAGTGAACTTAAAACCCTACAAAGTGAACAAAACCCCATAAACAAGTAGAAATGAGTCCAATTAAGAGGCTACCCTTGATGCTGCTAGCTGAATTACAACCATCTTTGCTGTTACAGGTACAGTATTCCATAAAAATGTTGTAAGTGCCAGTACGCATGAGGCAAAATCGTTCATCGCCTTGGATTCCAGGTTCACCCATGTATGCACAGCTACGGAAATACCGCCACTCTCCATTAACTGCAACAAGGGAACAAACAAACATTTATGATAAAAAAGACGAGGGCTCCTTGAGTCCTTTTAAAATATAACAAAAACATACCTTTTTGCCTAATTTTTCTGCACATTGTGGGTCGTACACCTGGTAAATGGTCCAACGATCCTAAAGTTCTGCAATCTGTGATGGGAACTGTAGAGTTATCGAAGGGATCAGCGCATTTTGGATCAGAATCTGAGCGACAATCCCAACACTTAATGGCCATTGCTGCAAGACAAACAACAAGTGGTGTTACTTAACCTAACATAATATTGCACTGATGAGGGAAATGTATGAATGAAACAAGCTTGTGTTCAGGGAGGCATGCATAAATAAAACTAAATTTGTTACAGAAAAAGAAAGCTGAACATAATCCACCTCCAAAATGAAGCAGACATTCTTTAACGATCAACACCCACCCAAACAATAACATTATTTTACAAATTACATTTTTCAATTACTGGTAGCCTTACCACAACTTAATGCACCAAAAAAGACGAACAGTAGCATGACATTGTGAGTCCCCGGTGCTGCCATGGTTGGGAGCAAATAAATTCAAACTACAGCGATAAATACAAATATAAATATTGGAATGTACTGTATACACGGCAACAACTGTGACGTCACGATGCCGCGCCCCATTCAATGTTACCAGTACCCCAGTACGAAAAGTCTTTCTCCGAAACGAAAGAAGGAAAATGTAAAACCATCCCTATCAAGAAAAATTTGCAATTCAGATAATTATGTTAGGTTCTACAACGTAAGAAAAATCGAAATGGAGAACGGGTTTCATTCCACGACTGAGATGCTTGTCAGCGGCAGTTGGCAAGAAGACAGAGGCGCTTTCGCCAACATGCGAAATTTGAACAGCTCGCTTTATTCGGGGAAATACTCCTCCACACGGCGAAGCTCCGACCGTTCGGCGAGATGAAGTTTTTGTTGTAGACTTCACAGGAAGCGCACCACTACGATAGAAAGAGTGTTACGGTGTGTGGTGTGAGGGACGGCTAAGAGCCTCGAGGCCAGCCTGCGAGGGGGAACCGGCGAGCGAAACCCGCGCAAATACGAACCCAGTCGCGTTCTCGTCCCGCCCCGTCAGTCGAGCGATTCAGAAGATCGCACTGGTGAAACAAAGGCATTAAAATTATGCCCTTAAAGGGCGTAAACGATTTACGCCCTTAAAGGGCATAACGTTATGCCTTTGGAAGGCATTAAAATTTGCTTGTAATCCTATACCATTTAGCCTTCCCAGGCGAAAACGATTTATGCCCTTGCAAGGGCATAAAAGCGTATTAATGCCCTAAAGGGCGTAATTTTTATGCCTTTGTTTTACCAGTGCGGTTTTGCGGCTCTGTCTCTGTCGCACCCTCACGGAGAACCCCATGAGTGCGACAGAGACAGAGCGACGGCACGACTCTTCTGAACCGCTCGACAGTTCGGAACCGTTCATTTACCGCGCAACTAATGGGAATCAAAACGACATGTCGGGGTGATTCCCCTGGTGGTTCTCGGAGGGCGCCTCTTCCTCTCCGCTTTTCCGCAGCAGCCTGGGGGCGAGCGAGGAGGACAGCAGCGTGCCCAGCGGCCCCGTCACCAGCAGGGCGTACACGCAGCAGTCCAGCACCATCTGCGCCATGGCCTGGCCGCCAGCGTCGCCGCCAGCGTCGTCGTCGGGGAAGCCGCGGAGCAGCGTCCAGCTGCACGTCAACAACTGCGGAGAGCGGCGTAGAGGACGGCGAGGATCATCATCAAGAACATGAGCCCTGTCCCACTTCACACAGTGGGCCTGAAGACCGGTGGAGGTTGACGCGCTTTGAGCTCTAGAGTCGCTAAATGGGACTCGGACCGAACGTGTGACCCCGCCAATGGATTGCTCTACGAGCGAGGAATCCATTGGTTTCAAGTTAGGGGTTCAACTATCAGCCTTGGGGTGGCTTCACGTCCGTGCTAGGACTGCTCGGTGTGACGATATATCGTCGACATATCGTCGATATATCGTACCAATATCGTCCCATATCGTGGTATCGCAGTATTGCCCTGTATCGAGGTATCGTCCCATATCGTGTATCGTTATCGTCTCATGCCGTATATCGCGATATCGTGGACGCACCTGGACGGTCCCCTTGGGCACGCAGGCGATGCAGATGAACAGCCGTTCGGCCCACCGCCTTTTGGACTTGACGCAGCAGAGCACCGACACGACCATGCGCACCTGTGGGTGAGGCGGGGCGTGTCGCTCTGTCTCTCTCGCACTCGCAGGGCGCGCAGGGCGTTCCACTCCGCAGGGGTGCGGAGACAGAGTGACGAAGTCTGCAGGCTGATTTCGGGCGCTGTGCTCGTCGCTCTGTCTCTCTCGCGCCTTTGCGGGACGCCCCATGAGTGCAAGAGAGACCGAGCGATGGTGTGCGTAGTACCGCGACGCCACACAGGAGCACGCCGATGAAACGCAGCTGCCGCCAGCCGCCCAGGCGGGACACGTAGATGTGCGGGCCGACGATGGACATGGCCAGGGGCTGCATGATGAGCCAGCTCAAGGACATCATGGTCCGCAGCGTGTTCTGCGGCACACGGAGATCTTCACTGCAAAGGTCGGACTTCTCGCCACTCCAAGGTTGGGTCCAACCTGAAAGTCTCACCAAAATTTGGCCCGACAAAAATGTCTTACTGCAGAAGGGTCAGAAACTTTTTGACCCTTCTGACCCTTTCCGCTGTAAGACATTTTTTGTCTGACCACAATGTGGCCTGAATTTTTACCTCATTGAACACGGTCGGTCTATCGGCCTTCAGGTCTGGTCAAATTTTGGCAAGACTTTTTGCCTCGCCGTAATTTGTCACCGAGTCTTTTCGTTTAATTTTCCGTGTTACAGCATGACGACGAGGCCCCCACCTTGTTGGCGTCCATGGACAGCGTCTTCCAGCCGTTGGACGCGACGCAGGCCGTGGTGAAGGCCGAGAGGTAGCCGACGGCCGGCATGCCCAGGAAGTAGTGGAACGCGATGACGCTGCACACGTTGACGGCCAGCAGCATCTCCACCCGGTAGAAGGTGGCGTGCACCTGGGAGAGGGGATGCTGAGTGCCTTCTCGGGACGCGCGGCCAAGCAGAGCCAAGCACTTGGCACACTCACGTTGTACTCGTTGGGCACGTAGATGGACATGAAGCCGATGACGGCGCCGATGAGGATGCCGGAGGGCAGCTGGAAGACGGCCATGGCGATGGACGCCCAGGACTCTGCCAAGTCCGCGATGGGTTGGTCGCTCTGTCTCTCTCGCACCCTTGCGGAGAGTCCCATGAGGGCGACAGAGACAGAGCGACGGCTCGGCTGATGCGCATGCCCAGCGACGCACCTGCGTCCATGGCGCACTTGAGGGCCACGCCGAAGATGCAGAAGGCCGCCGCCGAGTCCAGGGCGCTGACGACGAGCAGCAGCGAGCACACCGAGCCGCCCGAACCCAGCTCCTTGCGGCGGAGGTTCAGCGCGGTCCACATCACCACCAAGGGGGACATGGGGGCCGTGAGCGAGCTGACAGAGGAACAGGGAAGTGCAGGATGGGGCGTGCGTACGATGCCGGGGGAATCGAACCCGCGATTTGCAGGTGCGAGTCCAAGGGGGTGACGGGGGCGTCGCCGCAAGGCTTGCCCTGAGGGCGGTGAAGACACCTGGAAGGTAGGCAAGATGTCGCACTTTGCCGCCAGTAGCAAGAGGCAACTTGTGCGCCGTCACCCCCATGAACCAGCCCTGGACCCGCCCCGGTCTGGACTGCGCGTCGGCGAACCCGAGGAGGAAGGCCCAGCGCCAGGAGATGTCCAGGGCCTGCGAGGCGGCCACGGTGACGAAGGCCGTCTCGGCGAACAGCGGCAAGAAGCCCAGCGCCAGCACCATGCCGGACGAGCTCTGCAGCAGCAGCAGCTCCACGTCGATGCCCGCGCGCGCGATGAACACCCCCATGGAGGCGAAGCTGCGTGGGGTGTAGTTGTGGGGGGTCAAGCAGCTGCGTTTCTCGAATTGGCGCCAAAAACAGTCGCGGATCCAGAGGGGGAAGGGCAAACAGTCGAACCCCCTTGGCCCAACTCTAGACGCGTTTTGAGCTCCAGAGTCTCTAAACACGATTCGAACCGAACGTTTGACCCCACCAATGGATTCCTCGTTCGGAGAGCAACTCATTGGTGGGGTCACACGTTCGGTTCGAGTCCCATTTAGCGACTCTGGAGCTCAAAACGCGTCTAAAGTTTTGGCCGCCTCCAGCCCCCCCCCCTCCGGCCGGCTCTGGGTCCGCCACTGGGCCAGAGAAGCGAAGGAGAGCACCGACACGATGAGGGCGGCCGTGTCGCCGCGAAGCAGGGACAGGACCTCCAGCTCCCGGATGTCCAGGTTGCCGGCGACGGCGGGCACCACGAGCATGCCGTACAGCGCGGGCAGTGGCGTGAGCGTGGCCACCGCCGCGCCGACGGCGTGGCCCACCAGCGACATCATGATGACGTAGAAGGGCGCGGACACTGCGCAGGCGGCACTGGTCAGTTTGCTTGCTACTCCAGTGGCGCTCCGTTTCCAATGCCAACATTTGGCCTCTAGGGCCGGATTGCCCTCTGGGGTCTGGGGGCAGAAGGCCAAATTTTGGGTTTCTAAACGGAGTGCCACTGGAGAGGAAAGGAAACGTCTCAATGGGTTTGCACACGGCAAAATCTGTACCTGGTATTCCCAGGGCCCACACTGGAAAAAAGGGGCCTGGAAATGCCAGGAGCTTGCAGTGCAGTGCACTTACGCGGCCCCGCGTCCGGCCCCACCAGGGCCCACAGCACGCCCCACAGCAGCAGCGTGAGGATGAGCACGATGGCGCCGCCCTCCACCTGCTCCCACGACGGCGAGGCCGGCAGCCCGGGGCACGCCGCGGCCACCAGGGCCGGCGACGGCGGGCAGCACGCGCACGGCAGCACCTTGCCCGACCGCTGCCCTGCAACGCGCAGCAACGCGCAGCAACGCGCCCGTCGTGATGGCAGCGTCGCTCCCGCCTCGAGGTAGGAAATGTGTCGCTTTTTGCCCCCGTAGGTCGGCAACTTTTGAGGCATCCCCCCTCCCCTAATGGATCCGCCCCTGCCACGGCCTCGGCCCGCCGGAGCACGCACTGTGCAGTGGAGGCAGCGCGGGCAGCGACGCCAGCACCTCCAACTCCTCGCCCCTGCGCGCGATCTGAAACGACTCCAATCAAAGTGCGAATCGAATCGGTAGGAGCTGGCGCAGTAGACTGATTCCGAGAGTCGTTTTCGTCGCTCTGTCTCTCTCGCACTCCTGAGGCGTGCCGGAAGGGTGCGAAAGGGGCAGAGCGACGCCAACGGCCTTCGGAATCAGAATCCCGCGGCTCCGAGGTCCACTGATGGCGTTGGTACTAACGAGGTTCAGCTGCTCCTGCTCGCGGTCCAGGTCGTCCTGCTCCGCAATGTTGACCTGGTCGGGGATGAAAGTACATTCTCGGAGAGGAAACTTTTTGAGGCACACTGAAAACTTAAGTGTGTACTGAGCACACACATAGGTCACTAAAGGTTGCACTGAGTTCACATAGGCTCTCTCACACTGCATCGGCAACCTGGAGCGCCTGACAGGTAGGCAATCCACGCATCGGTGTCTAGACGGTGGCCTACCCGCCCCTGCGAGGTGAGTTCCTTTTGCAGCAGCCAAAAGCAACCTCTACACGAAGCCGACTCTGTCTCTGGCAAGGTAGGCCACCGTCCACGCCAGGGTGCGTTGCGCGACTGACTGCTGGCCTGTCTGCCAGGCGCTGCAGGCTGACGTCTGATGCGCGCCGCTTGGCCTGATAGTCCCGCCACGCTGATTCGTTGCGACGACGTGCTTGTGCGGTCTCAGCGTTGTAGCATACCAAACAGGCACGGAAAATAGATCCTGAGAGGACAGTGCGAGAAAAGGACTGAAGGTACCTCATCCGTCTGTGCCGGCGTCAGCCCCAGCCAGCCCAGAAGCCAGTCCACGGCCATCCTCCCTGTTTCCGCCATGTCTCGGCTCACTCAAGTGAACCGTCAAGCGCGCACTTTTCTGGGAAGATGTTTAAGTTTCAAAATTTCGTGTGCGCGGCCTGCCGGTGCTGCCAACTGTTTGGCAAGGCCGCGAATACCTCGATGTCGTTGAAGATGAGCCGCTCTCTTGCATCGACTGTCGCTCAGCAGCGAAGAAGTTCTCGCTGACTTTCTGGCGAAAGAAAACAGTTCACTGCTCGGCCTTCTAGGGCGGTGACTCGGGTTGGTATCCCTGATTTTAATTGTCGCAGTCGGAGCAAGCTGGGCCAGCCTGCCTGCGCGCACGCAGCTGCTACTTTGAGCTACTTTGCTGCTGCCACGCCACTGTAGTGTTTGGTTCGGCAAGCGTGGTCATGGACAGGGCAAAGGTCAAGAAGAAGACCACCATCAAGGCGGCCCCGGCACTGGGGCGCGGCCGTGCCTCGGCAGCCAACGTGAGTTTGGCGAACGGGAAGCAAGCGTCGTGCCCGGTCGTTTGTGAAGGAAAACTTGGTAGGGATAAAGGGTGTGCATTTTTTTCCAGCTGCCTGGCCCAGCTCCAGCCAAGCTCGGCCGCCCGACGGACGCCTTCGGCCATCCGGCAAGGCTCAGCAGGTACCACTACTGCCGGACCCAAGAAAACATGAATGTAAAATTATCTGACTGTGTGGCAGCACTGGTAAAACTGAGGTAGCCTTTCGTGGAGCCCACAGCGTGCAAGTGCTCATGCACTCCTTTCCTCCTATCTAAATGCATTGCCGGAGCGTACGAACTGCCTTTGGAGTGTACGTTTCAAGAAAAGGCCTTCAATCTTAGTTCTTTGATCGAATGAAGCGCGGACCTACGCTTTAGTTTTACCAGTGCGGTGGTGGTATCTGAAGCACCGCCTCTGCAGACATCATCCGGTGGCTGACGCCGCCCACCCCGCCGCCGGAGCACCTCCACTTCCTGCCCTGCTGCCCGTGCCGGTCCGGCCTGGAGGAGCGCGCCTGCACCCCGGTGTGGTGCTTCTCGTACCGCTACCTCGACTGGCTGCTCGCCGTGGCCGTGGTCCTCGTGGCCGTGTGGCTGGCCATGCTGCTCACCGTCGGCCCGGACGTGTGAGTCGCATTGCGGCGCGAGCCGTCCAAGACCCTTAGGGGTAAGTTGGGGAGGGAAAGTACAGGGTGAGAAAAGTGCACACCCCTGTGGCCCACTGCAGATCCGCACACCCAGTGACCAGGCCTTTCAGGCTTCCGTGTTAACTTGAAAATGACTAGTCGAGGGATCGAGATACTATCGGTTCCGTGTGTACTTTTCCTACCCTGTACTTTTCTTCCCCAACTTACCCCTTATTTCTGCCCTCCCCTCCGTCTTGATTGAACGCGTGTTGCGAGGGTCGGTGCAGCGTCGGCCCCGGCACCCCGCTGTTCGCCGTGGGCTCGGTGGTGCTGGTGGCGTACGCCGTGGGCTGGGCCATGTACTACCACCTCAACCTGCCGCCCACCCTGGGGATGCTGTCCGTGGCCCTCGTCTACCGGAACGTGCCCATCTGCTGGGACGCCACAGACCACCTCGACCACAGCGTCATTGCCGCCGTCAAGTCAGTCGCGTCGCACTGGCACACTGGCACTAGCAGTTTCCTCTGTTTGCGCTGACGCGGCGTGCGGCGCAGGTCCCTGTTCTTCACCATCAACATCGTCAAGGCCGGGCTGTACTTCGACGGCGCCGTGTTCCGCAACTACGGGCTGACCATCGTGCTGACGGCCGTGCTGCCGTGCGTGCTGGAGTCCCTGTACGTCAGCATGCTGGTGCTGCAGCTCTTCGACGTCCCGCAACTGTGGGCCCTCACCCTCGGGTAGGCAGTGCCTAATCACTCGCCAGGTAAAACAACAAAGGCGTAAAACCTATACCCTAAAAGGGCGTAAACGATTTACGCCTCGGTTTATGCCCTAGAGAGGGTGACTCGACTCATGCGGCGAACAATGGAACTCGTAGCGCGGAGTATTGACACGGACTGGACGCGTGGGGCATCCGCACTAAATACCGCGCAGGGTGCATATCAGAAAGGGTTGCCAACATCGGCTTGAGGAATCTGATGTTGGCAACCCTTTCAAAGTGGGAATTTTTGCTTGCACATGTGGCAATGCTGCTTTCAGTGCAGGGAAAGAATGTCGCGTCCGTATTGTGTGGTGGCGGGCAGAAGGGAGAATGGCATAGAAACTGACACGGACAACTCGCTCATAGAAGGATTGTGTTATTAGCGGCAACACCTGCTTGCTCCTGACAGGAGCATGAGAGGTTCGAGGATCCAGCCCCGCTCAAGCGCGGCGCTGCGGATGCGGGATTTTTCTCAGGAGGGGTGTGTAGCGAATTTGGCCTACTTACAGGGGCTCTATAGAGCAAGCAGGTGTTGCTAGATAGACCGCCCGCAAGGTGGGCAACAAGCCAACAAGCTCTTCTCTGCCTCTGAAAGTAGGCAAAGTTCGCCACACCCCTTCTTCAAAACTCCTGGATCCGCACCTGAGCGTGTCTCGAACCCCTCCTGGCCTAGCTTCCTGTGGGGCGGCGTGTCCCCCGTGCTGCTGTCGCTGTGCCTGGTGTCGCTGGCCAACCAGGGCTACGGCACCAAGACGGGCATCCTGTCCATCCTGCTGGCGTCCGGCACCCTGGACAACATCGTCATCATCGTCATCTTCGACATGCTGCGGGAGTCCATGGCGCTGTCAGGTTCGACACCGCAACTCGAATCGCCAACACAGTGCTTACTCACCATCAGTCTGAGTTGGCTAGAGACACCTCGACGGATACAGAGTGGCTCAGAAGTTAAAGGTTAAAACTTCTACCCCCGAGCGAAGCAACATTTTCCTCTCTTTCCTAATCCAGCTTCACTCAAAGTGGTATCTGCTACCATCGGTCTTTGTTTTGTGGCGATGGCTCAGTGAGAGCTCACCGCTCCAAAAAGGGCCCTGGGTTCGCGAAGTTCACGGGAAGAGCCCTGCATTCAAATCTCCGGAGTGAGAATCTTTACGTCTCCATTGTTTTCGCACCCCGAAACGTGCCAAATGGGTGGTCTACCTTCACGGCGTGAAGACGCTGGCCCACCTTGCCCCTGCCTTGCCCCTGCCTTCACCGCATGGGAAGCCGCCGTCTCCACAGCGGTGCGCTAGACGGGCCGGTGGCCGACCGTGGCACACGGCCCCTCTAACCCCCTCGGCTCGACAGCCAGGCAGCGAGGCGGCGTTGGTGTTCGGGCGGATCGCGATGAAGGTCATCATGAGCGTCTCGTCGGGCTGCTTGCTGGGGCTCGTCATCGCCTGCCTGCCGAATAGGTACAGCGTAAGTGTCGCGGGTTCGAACACTCGCGCTGCCAGTTTGTGGCTTTGCCTCACCTTGGGGAGGCCAGGGGACCAAGTCCGAAAAACGTCTAATCATGTTATTTTGACACCAAAATAGACCGAATCTTGACAAAAATGTCTTATTTCGATGTTGACTGGGCAGAAGCACGCGCTGCTGGCGCGCTTCGCGCTCCTCATCATGTCGTCCACGTGCATCCACCTGGCCTGCAGCCTGTACAAGCTGGACACCGCCGCCTACCTGTGCACCGTGACCACGGCCTGCTTCATGGTCAACTGCTGGCGCGCCATGGAGTGGCACGAGGACGCGGTGAGTTTCCACGGAACGAGGTGTATCGCCAATACGGGTTCGAAGGCATCTGTTAATGATCCCCCCGAGCTTAGACACGCCCCAAGTAAGCTCTGGTGGGTACCAACGTACCAACGAATAGAATTGAAGCGAAACAAGAACAAGAAACAAGCGATACAATTGGTTGCCTCTTCTGATAAATCAAAGGGGACGCGTTTTGAGCTCCAGAGTCACTAAACAGGACTCGTACAGAACGTGTGACCCCACCAATGGATTCCTCGTTCGGAGAGCAACGCATTGGTGGGGTCACACGCTCGGTTCGAGGCCCACTTAGCGACTCTGGAGCTCAAAACGCGTCTAGAGTTTGGCCGCCTCCACCGGTCTACTAGCCCACTGTGCTACGCCGCGCTCCTGCCTCCAGACTCCGCTACGAGAGGCGTTCGAGATGCTGTGGCACTTCTGCCACCCCATCATGACGGTCATGATCGGCATCTCGTGCGACTTCTCCTCCATGAAGACAGACACCGTGTGGAAAGTCCTCGTCATCTACTTCACGGGCCTGGCGGTGCGGCGCACTTCCAAACACTCTCCACCCCAGTCAGTTCGATGTTCAAAGTTGCAATTACTGCCACACTTACATTGCTCAGGTGCGGTTTCCAGTGACGTACATCGCCACTGCATTCAGCAGGAAGCCTCCGAAGCAGCGTTTGTTCATGGCGGTGTCCTACTGGTCGAAGGGGCTCCTCCAAGTCAGTGGTTTACCGCCTTAAAAACACCCCTCACCACACTGGTGAGGTAAAACGAAGGCATAAAATCCATACCCGAACGGGGCGGGGCGTAAACGATTTACGCCCCTGAAGTGGCGTCAATCAGTTTACGCCCTTGGAAGGAAAGGGGCGTGAATTAGTATAGGACTCGTAGGCAAAATTTTAATACCCTTCCAGACACGTTTATGCCTTTGTTTTAGCCAGTGCAGCCAACATCAGTTCTCAAAAATGCCCTCTTCGCCTGCAGACCGCGCTGGGCGGGCTGGTGCTGGAGGCCATCACGGAGGACTCGGACCTGAGGGAGGTGATCGCGACGAGCGTGGCTCTGGTGGTGATCGTGGGCACCTACGTGGTCGCCCTGTCGTCCAAGTACCTGGGCCCGCTGCTGCTCCCCAGGGCCGAGTGAAGGTTCAGGGGCGACGATTACCTTTTGTTAGCTGCTGTTGCCGTCAAAATCTTGCGCGGCGAATAACTGTGGCAATTGAAACGAGGGGCTTCTGCTTGCGGGCCGCGACACTGCAACACGGCCGCGCGTGACGTTGCCGGATCTTGACATGACAGGGGGGGAGGGAACCAAGTCGCACCCATTGCCCACTGACATGGGCGGCTTCAGCGACTTGCCTGGGCTGAGCAATAAAGACGTATCCCATGTTGGCAGACATGGATTCTATTTTGCATTCAATTTTATTCTCGCATTTCAGCCTGCAAAGCAAACCTATGACACTTACGCAATCGTGAATGCTCACCCAAACAGATGCAGAATTTGCCTTGTCTCAAGTTTTGCAAAATTCCTTCCTACTATGAAGAAACTTCCACCAAGAAATTTGCTTACTTCGTAGTACAAGCGGTCATTAGAATTCTTTTTTATAGTGTGGGGCCAGAGGGGCCCTGGAAGTCTCTCGTTGGCGTGGAGTCTCGGACTTTCGCACAGTCTCAGAATGCATCTTGCGATGCATGGGGATGCACCCTCCCCAATGCATCCTCCAACCCTCAAGGCCGCCCTCAAGGCCGCCCTCAAGGCCGCCCTCAAGGCCGCCCTCAAGGCCGCCCTCAAGGCCGCCCTCAAGGCCGCCCTCAAGGCCGCCCTCAAGGCCGCCCTCAAGGCCGCCCCCAAGGCCGCCCTCAAGGCCGCCCTCAAGGCCGCCCTCAAGGCCGCCCCCAAGGCCGCCCTCAAGGCCGCCCTCAAGGCCGCCCTCAAGGCCGCCCTCAAGGCCGCCCCAAGGCCGCCCTCAAGGCCGCCCTCAAGGCTGCCCTCAAGGCCGCCCCCAAGGCCGCCCTCAAGGCCGCCCTCAAGGCCGCCCCCAAGGCCGCCCTCAAGGCCGCCCTCAAGGCCGCCCCCAAGGCCGCCCCCAAGGCCGCCCTCAAGGCCGCCCTCAAGGCCGCCCCCAAGGCCGCCCTCAAGGTTGCCACAGGGCGCGCTGAAGGCCGAGTAGAAAGGCGGCGAACGCTGCCGCCGCCGTGAAGGCCCTGGCGGTGGAGGCCGTGTTGCAGCCATCGCCGTCGCACAGCTCGCAGGACTCGGTCTCCCCCAAGGTGGCCGCCAGCGCCTCGCACGGATCCTGGCCCAGGATGCGGCCGGGCGCGCAGCCGCGGTCCGTGATCACCTCCCCGTCCACTGCAACACACGCTGAGCCTTTCACGCCATCTCGCGCGCGTGCAGGACAGGAGACTCCGAGCACTGCTCCGGTCGGTCTGTCTCTCTCGTACTCATGGGGGCATTCCCGTGAGAGTGCGACAGAGACAGCGACGGAATCGGTCTGCAGTGTGCCAAGTGTGCGATAGTGCAGGACTCACCCTCCATGTCCACTTTGTGGCAGGCCGCGTCGGGGTCCTGGTCGTCGAAGCCGCGCTGGCCGTACCCGCCTTGTTGGTTGCCCTGCAGGCCGCCCTGCTGGCCGCCTTGCTCGCCGCCCCTCGGGCCGAGGAGTCCGCCGCCGTGGCCGCCGTGGCCGCCGTGCTGCTGGCCCTGCCCCGACGACGACTCGGGGTACGCGCCCGCCGCCGCCAAGCTAGCCCGCGTCGAGACCTTCACCGCGGCCCACACGTCCCCGCCTCCCGGGGCGCGCTGCCCGAGGTGCGACAGCAGCCCACTCACCTGCAGGCACCGCGACGAGGAGGCCGTGAAGGCTTGCGGTAACTGCTAATCAACGAACGTGACAAAACTCACATTATAACCGGTGAGAATGTGAATTTTATCACGTTCGTTGAGAGTGCGCGCCACCTCGCGGCCACTGCAGTGAACTTTCGACCCAGCAGTCTTTTTCTAGCGAAAAAAGACATCACTTGAGCAGGCGCCGGACATATAGTGATGGGCAACCCATCGCACACACTGATACACGCATATGACGTCACATTCTTGAAAAATGGTGCGAAGGTAGGCCACCGTCCTCACACCAGTGTGCCCCAGGACGGGTTGGTGGCCTACGTGGCAGGGGCTCGACTCGTCTGTGCGGCCCCTGACAAGGACGCCAAGACGAGGCCGCCGCAGTGTCTTCAGGGAATTCCCAGGCTAGCCCACCAAGGACTATCCAGAGACAGGGAGGGGCACGATTCCTCAAAAGTTGACCACTTACGGAGGCAAAGTGCGACTTTTTGCCAACCTTTCCCACTCCACGCCTGCAACCCACCGAAACTCTACTCTAGCTTACCGCCTCCATTGCCTGCCGAACGCTCTGGGCCACTTTGCAGTCCACCATGCGCAGCCCCTCGTTCTGGTCGTCGTACTGGTTGTTATTGTTGTTGTAATAATTGTTGTTGTTGTTGTCACCGGCGTCACTGTCCTGGCCCTCGGCCTGCTCCTCCGCGGTCTGTATGGGGTCGGCGCAGCGGCTGTCCGCCTTCGAGTTGCACACGTAGCAGCGCAGTCCTTCGGCTGTACCAGAGAGATAGAGACAGTTTCATGTGTTACTGATCCGGTTTTCGGTTTCCAGCTCCAGCCTGCTCCGGCAAGGGTTAGGTGCGGCATTTAAAATTTTCCGCACAGGTCACCAGCAGGGGCACTCCGCTACCCTTGAACGTCCAACGTTCCTACAGGCAGATTCCGAACAGCCCTTGCGTCGCTGTCTCTCTCGCACTCAGGGCGCGACCCCTAGGGGTGCGAGAGAGGCAGAGCGACGTTGCGACTCACTGGCGGCGACGAGGACGACGAGCAGGACGAGGAGGAGCAGGCAGGCCGCTGAGGCTGACGCCGCCGCGGCTCCGCCTTTCAGCGCTTTCGGCCCCATCCTCGGCGTACTGCAGTGTAGCTGCAGTGGTGCAGGGGTTGTCGTGGCCGGTCTAAAGCCGTGTAGCAAAATCAAGTCAATTACTTGGAGCAAACATAACGTACTTGGGTGCGCCAAGTGCATTTACCTTGCTCCAATGTAGGTGTAGTAATGTTCTTTGGGGGTGGCACTGCCGCTCTGCCCTCACTGAAAATAGAACGGTCATACTTTTGACCGCTTAAACGGTCTTACTGAAATGTACGACCGAAAAAGGGTCATACTTCGATGTATGACCGAAAAACGGTCATACTTCGATGTCTGACCGAAAAACGGTCATACTTCGATGTATGACCGAAAAACGGTCATACTTTATAGTGTATCACGGGTAAAGGCTGATATATCCCCTCGCTGATGTCTGACCTTTTTTTGGTCATACATTTAAGTATGACCGTTTTTCGGTCATACATTTGTGTATGACCGTTTTTCGGTCATACATTTGTGTATGACCGTTTTTTCGGTCTTACTTTTTGTATCACCGAAAATCGGTCAGATGTCTCACCCTCTGAATTTCAGTGCTAGGAGGTCCCCCTCTACTCTGCCCTGCCCGTGCAGGTGCGGTGTAACGGTGTACGTGCCGCACTGGCCGGAGGCCGAAGGGGCTCTTTAGCCGGGGCGGGGAGTGCCAGGCCAGGCTGTCACTCGTCGAGTGATTCCGCCGCCCCCTCGCCCTGTCTCCCTCGCACCCTCACGATACACTGCATGAGAGCGAGAGAGAGCGCGCGACAGCGTGGGCCACACGCTAAGGGTGCCAACAGTGTGGTGGATGCCCAGCCGCAATCATTAAGTTTTCATCCACCCGGTCTCGCGGTCTGCCCCGCCGAAACTACCCCCACCCCCTTCTTCCTGCCAGTGCGGCGTGGAGGCGCCCGCACGCCAACGCACGCGACCTGCCAATCGAGTCGACCAGCAGGGAAGGCCGAGGCCGATGGCGGGACAGAACGCCTTGCATTATTAGCGAATGCCAACCGAACGTTTTAGTGACTTTAGGTGCGTTTTGGACCATTAAGGACACTCCGCCTACAATGGCAAATTTGGGACAGGGCCCCATTTAAAAAAGTCTTGTACCGCCTATGCATTAAGTACAGGAGCTGTGACAAAAATTTCATTTATTTGTGATGAATGTGTCAAAATTTTAGCGTGACCAAAATGCCCACCACAATTTTGTCAAAAAGCAACGACAGATTTTCACAGTGCAGACGCCCACAACCAGTACTGCCGTGAGCCGTGTCTTGAGTGTTTCACTGGAGCCGAAAGTAAAAGCAATAAACATTATCAAAACAATTCGATTTCCTTGCTCCTTAACTACAAAGTGCATGGCAAGTAAGAACACACAGCTCGTCTCAGGTTCTCCAATGTTCTTCGCCTACCCAAGAGGCTCAACATTTCTTCACAAAACAAATGGCTTTACAGGTGCAAAATGGTTCTTTTATATAGCGTTTGGTTTGGTTATTGACAGACTCAAGCAGTTTAACTTTTTTCCTTTTCTTTTAATGGACCATTTACAATACATATTTGTAACAGAGTTATCTTCCATCTTTTCCATACAATACATTACACTTGTAGCTACAGCAAGTCAATTAATGGCACAAGTAAGAAAAAGATTCTTTAAAATATTAAAATTGTAATATACAATTCTGATATTTTATCAGAAAAGTTTGATGCAACCTAGTTCATTTGACTCTCTGTGGAATAGCATATAAATGAATGAACAAATAGATTTGTTTTTTAAAAGTTATGAATGTAATAAAATATAGAATACAAATTATAAAATAGAGTTATCACATAACACACACACAACACTTGATGCACTCACTGATCACAAGAAATGAACATATGAACACCTAAGCTGGAATCTTTGGTAACTTAGCTCTGCTAAAATGTGGAAGAGAAGAAAATTGTTATTTTTATCCCCTCCCTTATCATAGGTTTATTTTTGGTTCAAATGATGGTAATGTGCCACTACAGGCAACCTAATGGTTGCTGCTGGGGCTTATCTTTTAAAAGTTTAAAATGAGAATAAGATTTATCAGTTGAACATTTTACCAGCTAATTTTTCTCGATCCTCGACATTTTTTTGACGCACCATATCTTCCAAAAGAGCCAATTCTTGAGAAACTGATTTCTCTAATTTCGGGTTGAGTTTTACTAACTTTTCAAAATCTGATCTGGCTTCTGAAGGATTCCATGCTCCCATGTGGGCTTTGGCCCTTCGAAATAAAGCTTTCTCGTTGTCTGAAACATAAAAATTAAAAAACATGTTTTAATAAAATGGAACACTGTAAATTTTGAGCATGTGAAATTGTAATACACAACATTCGATTAACAACAGCATTTTTCCTTAAACAATGCCCCCTCAGGTGGCGACAGAGACATGGCAGATTCAATGCCGCCACTAAAACAGCAAAAGTAATGTCAGACCGGCCAGGGGCCAAGCATTCCTCCACAAGAATCTAATTTCTGATTCCACCAAGTCTCTGTCCCCCACATTATAATAATAATTGTAAAAGTGGGAGTAAATTACCTGGATGTACACTTAAAACTGTGGAGCAATGTTCTATGACAGTATAGAAGTCACCTTGCTTTAGCTTACACTGACTTAAGTTTAAGAGCAGAGGCATCTTTAACTCTTGAAGTTCCAACCACTCAGTATCACGAGGCTTTTCTCTAGGGGGAAAAGCGCATACATAGAAATTTACTAAAACCATGTAAATTTACGAGGCTCACAACAAATTTAAAAAAATAAATAACCAGGTAAGAAGACTTACTTCAACATGAGCTGCTCAATAAACCCTAAGGCTATTGAGTAGCTCTCACAAGCTGCATCATACTTTTGTTCTTTATAATGCTTGTTTCCTTCTTCTCGCAATTTGGGTACCTGATCTAATTTTTCATTTTCTGACATCTGCCAAGATTCTTTTTTATATTCATCAGGTGCTTCCACTTTTAATAGCTCTGAAAGTAGCAGACAGAAATAAAAAACATTGTTTAAAATTGAATTAAGAGATTAAATTTTTATAGGGATAAGACTAGATACCTATGATGAACTCAAGGTCGCATGGATCCTTAATTAATTTGTTTAGGTCATCATATCCAAGACCTTCGTTCTGCAATGTTACTCCACAACAGTGGTGTTTCTTCTCTTTTGCTGGTTTCTCCATATCTCTCAGAGTCTTGGCAACAAAGGGATAAGGAAGCACAAGCTGAAATAGAAAAACAAGGCCCATGAATTGAACAGAAGGGGTTGAGGGACTTACGTTAAACAAGGCACATTATGAGTACACTAGACCACTCACACTTTTGTCAACGGTGAACGAAGCGACTTCATTAAGGCTCATGAGTTGAACAATTGTTTCCCATACTTCAAGTTTGAATTTCTTTCCAAGAACTAGTTCCATGGGCTTTCCCATCTTCCTACTATCATCAATAACAGTTCCAGCATCATCTGTAAGCTTGGTGATAAAGTGGAAGGCAACCTGAACAACAACAAGAAAATTACAGCTGACCCAAGAATCGTAGAAGTAACAGGTCTAGTGACAAACTACGGACTTACTTTGCATCCAGGTTTGAATTCCACTTGTTTTTTCCCAGCGTATAAAACCTTCTTTTGAATAGGGGTCTCAGACATGTTAAAGCAGTGTGGTTCGCAGTGACACGGGGAACCGCAAGTGGCAGCTGGCTGCAGCTGGCAGACAAAATTGTAGAGATCACCACTAACCTATAACTGAGCTTCAGATGGGATAAATGTGAAAACTGGTGACAGCTCTCAAAGTTTTTCTAATTCCTTATAGAAATTATCCAATGAATTTCAGGCTCTTTATCACGAACATTCTTCAGTAAAACAGCAGAAAGAAACTGGGACAGGACACACAAATAAACAAATCGCAACTGAAAACGCAACGCGCAATTTCTCATACCGAGGTAGGTGTTATATGGAAGGAGTGGGGAGGGGAAGGCATTGGTTTCTACGTCACATCCCGTCGGCTTGGCACCGTGGCGCGCCTTGGCGCCGTTTCACGGATCTGGTATGTCTTGGTTCCATTTCCAGCTTTCCAGCCCGATCGGCGGTTTCCCTTTTCATTCTCGCTGTTTGAGCGCATTCAACCCTTCCATCGCTGTCCCCCCTCCCACTCCCCGCGAGTGGCCACTGCATTTGTAGCCTCGGTTCTGGAGTCCCATAGTGGGTAGCCCGCCTGCAGTACACTGATGTGCGAATGGTGGCCTACCTTGGCTGGCTGGGAATGATCCTGCCTTTCGTTCGCCGATCCGACCGGCCACTTCAGTGACACGCTACCCACATGTTTGAAACGCAGTGCACTTTGTAGCACCAATGTGTGTCAAGGGCGAACACCCCTGGGTATTGTCAACTGTCGTGTGGCCGTAAGTGTTTTGACTGCTTCCTCCAGACCATAAAATGCTGATTTTGTGAGGACTTATTTTGCACTGACAAAAGTGTAGAGAAAACTGAAGAATCCTCCTGTATTCCCCTTCATGATATAATCATTGTGCTACGTGTTTTATTAGTTGCCATGTTTGTTTTGTGAGTTAAGCCATACTTTCCTGCGTGGTTAAAGATTGTAAAAGGTGGTCTCTCAAGAAGCTCAGAAATGCACAGGGAATGGTATAGCTACAAGCAAAAAATTCAGTGATTGAAATAGAAAATAATAGGGCAAGGATTTTTTTTGTGTAAGAAAATAGGGGTATTGAAATCTCAGCATAGACAAGAAACAAGAGTGAAAGGAGGAAGAATGAAAGATCAAAGAGCATAGTTTTGTAGCATAGCGGAAGTACAGATTTCATTTAATGACACTAAAACACAGTACACAACACCACCAATAATTTACCTACACTTCTAAAATGAAACTAAATAATAGGTGAAGGGAAGCAAAAACAGGAAGTTGCTAAGGATGTTAATTAAAGTATGTAGAGGAATTGGTAAACTATTCAGTATAAAACAGAATTAATACAGAACAGTGGGTACTGAATTATGGTGCTATTCTAAATTATAAAGAAGTGAACTTTGCTCATAAATGTCCTTGAGAATGTATAGCAAAAGAGAAAGCTACTGAAGGTGAAGGGACACGGGTAACGTCTCACATGACCTTACATTGATGAAGTGTCGGGAGGGGGATAGTTATTGAGGGCAAGATCTTTCCAGTATCAAAGAAACAAAGAATTGAAAGGAAATTTCTTTTTCCTTGGAGATAGAAGTTAATGTCTTGTAGATCTGGAGTTTTCTTGTTAAAGACCCATTAACAATGTAGCTATGAGAAAGGTCAAAGAGTTCATATACTAGCAATTGGCTGAAAACTCAGGTATTGAAAAGATAATGTGTGATTCGTTGTTGAAAACCCAATCGAAACAAAAACCAAAAGAATGAAAGAGAGAGATAACTCAAATTAAATGAAAATTGCACATAGAATGGAAACAGTCATTGATTCAAATAAAGGTAAGAGATGCGAGACAAAGGGTAAGAATATATGCCGTAATGAAAACACTGACATAGTAGCCCAAAAGAAGACAAATGATATCTGATTAACACAGAGTACAATAGCAACAATTTGATATGTTTCAAGCAGTGAATCAATTTGTTTCAAGATAAGTTTTGTTGTTGTTGTTTTGTTCAAATAAATTAAATTGGAAAAATATTTTTTACTTTCTCATGTCAAACTTCCAGATCTCTATATGAGGTCCTTAATTATGATATTATGTGATATTAAAAATGACAAAAGCCTCTTTTCCTTTGAGGAGAATCCTGCTCATTCATTTTGTTTGGACCCATGTCAATCATCATAAAAAGCTTCCTGAACAGCTGATAAAGTATGAAAGGTATAGTGCCTTAAGAAGTTCTGAGCCATTGAAAAATAATATCAAGAGAGGGGGGAAAAAAGGATTCATTGTGTCTACATAAATGTTAGGTCACATAAGAGACAATGCCATGAAATGCAAGTGATTTGAAGCAATCACTGGCCAAGCCAAAAATACTGCAAATATGATTGCACATTTGATAAAAATTCAAATCATGGCAATGATAATTTGAAGTACGACTGGTATTCCAGAGAAAAGTATGCATGAGAGTTTGTAGGCACCAAAGTCATGTCACCAAATAATGAAATTAATCTCCCAACCGTTGAATGTATTAGATATTAGAGGTATTGCTAACGTCCAAGATTGTCATCACAGTAGACTCTCATGGTTTTCTTGTACAAAACTAAGCAAAGGCAGCTAAGTCTAAGGACAATTAAATTAACTTTCTTTTACATCTAATCTACTGTTTTTGTTGGCACATTAATCTGTCAAAAAGGTCTTTTCTAAATTCTATTTTCCCTTTCATCTAGCCAAGTCAAGTCAGTTTAAAGAAATAAAAGATCTTAACACCGTAATTATGTAGTTCGGGAGTATTAATGAACATTGATATGGAGGCATCTACAAATTTCACATAGTTGGTCCACACAAACCAAATGAGTTTATGCACCAAAATGCATCACGGCTTCAGCATGTGTTGCAGTACTGAAAGTTCACGGTGAAGAAGTTCAAGACGTCGCATGACACTTGTTGAAATAGCGCAACAGCATTGCCAATACAAAACAATTGGCAATACAAGCATTAATGGAGGTACCTATGATCTCAATTACAATATGATTCATTATAGATAATTCATCCTTATGAAACATTAGAGAGCAGGACAGAAGAGGAAGTATGAAGCAGAAAGAACAGGATATACTATAGGTCACTAAAAGGCAAGCAAAATATTGAAGAAGAAATAAATCAATGCAAAGAAAGAATAGTTCAAGAAATGAAGAAGGGCTTTCTCTCTTCAGCATCAAGTACCATTAAGGTAGTAGACCAGATAAAAGGAAAACTTTTCCATGTCTTGTTCTGCTTTTTTTTATTCTCATAAAACACAGAGAACAGCATGCCCCTGGCATGCATGGTTCAAAGAGTTTCACTCAAAGATCAACATTATTCACACAGTAAATTTCTGGGCTGCATATTATATACCTATGTTCATTATGCCTATTGCTTATTTGTAGTACATGCAGAACCACTAGCCTCAATATGAGGCCTATGATTACATGAAATCATTCAGTTGGATTTAACTTCAAAGATATTTTGTTTCGTGAAATGTTGGTCAATGAATGAAATATAATATTTCCATTTAATACTGAACTGCAAAATCGTCCTAATAAAATACCCTCTCCCTTACCCTCTCCCTAAATATTGCTAAAATATACGAAAAAATGTTATTATAGCCGCCTCTCAAATTTTACTTCGAAAAATAATATTATAGCTAAAGAACAATTCGGCTTCCAAAAAGGGCTATCCACTTCGCATGCCACAGCCTTTGCTGTTGAACTAATTACTGATGCTTTAAACTCAAATCAGAAAGTACTTGGTCTGTTCCTAGATATGTCTAAAGCATTTGACTGTGTTGATCACCTGAAACTTGTACAAATTCTCGATCATTATGGTATAAGAGGTATTCCTAATACCTGGTTGAAATCTTATCTAAGTGAACGCAAACAATGCGTATCCCTAAAAAAACTCAAGCATGATACTATTCATACCTACCTATCTAACTTCCTAACTACCCTCTTTGGCGTGCCACAAGGTAGTATCCTAGGACCATTATTATTCTTAATCTACATTAATGAACTGAAGTATTATATCCTACAACATTCAAATGGTAACTGTAGACCAGTCTTCTATGCAGATGATGCAAATCTTATTGTTACTGCTGATACTACCAATGCCCTTCAAAATTACGCTAGCACTATTCTTCGCGATGTAATTAAATTCCTATCTAAACTAAATTTAATCTGTAATGTCACTAAGACAAATTGCCTTCATTTCACCCTTAAAAATAGAATGGATAGCCCGAAAATATCTTTGCAAATCGAAAATTCCAATATTCAAGAAGATGATTTTGTTAAGTTCCTCGGCCTCTATTTGGATAAAAATTTAAATTGGTCTGTTCATCTGGACGAACTTACCAAGAAACTCAGATCTAGCATCTTCTTGCTTAGACAGTTATCCCAATGCCTCCCCCCGAACTTACTTCTTAATGTCTATTACGCTACCTTCTTCTCACATATGAGCTACGGACTTCTAAGCTGGGGGAGTGCAGCTTCTTTCAGGTTTACTAAAATTTTCAAGCTCCAAAAAAGAGCTATAAGGATACTCGCGAACTTGCAATTCGATGCCTCATGTAGAACTATCTTCAAAAAATTCAAAATTCTTACACTCCCATCCCTGTACATCTTCTTACGCGTTCTATATGCCAAAAAATCTAATTCTACTCTTCTAAATTCAGACATTCATTCTCACGATACGCGTAAGAAAAACGATATCCATATCAAATTTTATAAGGGTGACTTTGGCAAACATGATGCCTTAAATGAAGGTTCTATTTTTTTAAATAAACTCCCCCCTAGAATTAAAAATATTCCCGATCCCCAGTTGTTCAAAAGATCCCTTAAAAACTACCTTATCGATAAGGAGTTGTACCTAACAAGTGATCTCTGACTGTTCCCTTCTTGTACTTGTGTTTCCCTATTTATTCTCTCTGTACTTGTGGTTCCAACACCTATTTATTTTCCTGTTATATATACATGACGTTGTACATTACTGTTGCAAGTTGGTACAAATAAATTGATTTGATTTGATTTGAAAATATCTTGAACAATTAAAACAACAAAAGTGCATTAGAGCACTGCATCCATCTATTACTCACTATGTAACACATGAATAAAAAGTAAAAAAAGGACACATCCTTGTTCTTCTCACATTCTTAATGCGTGGTTTATCAACATGGACATTCACTCTCATTTTCATTCACACCTTGTCGCTCGTTATCAGCTAACAGAAAATTTAAAAAAAGTTATCTACTATCTAAATCTACAAATGGGAACACAAAACAATGGAAGGCCATGTTTTATAACTTCACATAAACTCTTTTAGAGCTGTCGTTTGAAACTATAACAATCATATTATAAAATACAAGAGATTCAACTTTTGACCATGCTACACATTCATGATCAGCGCGACTTCTGGGGAGCAGAGTTAAGCATTGATCTGGATTTTCAGCACCATGACAAAAAACTTGATTGGGGGAAAAATAATTGATTTACAGGAAGCTCAAGAGGGAAAAGAACTGAAACATAATGTTACACATGATTTGGCTTTTTTTCCATGTTCACAGACATGTATTAACTGTTTAGTATGACAGGAAAAACTCTAATATACTGAGGGTCCCACTAACTAATGTTAAGTCACTTTGTTACAAACTAGCTATAAGGCTCAGTTGCTTTGATCCCATCAATTTGTGGAAGTCAGATGAAATTACCTTTCAAATACAATACCGAAGAATGAGTTCCATTTGGGGCCCTTTCCACCCAACCCATGAGTCCTAACAAAAGGTTCCATTTTAAATTTGGTCCATTAATACCTGAAGGCTGTTGACATTAACAAAAGAACGCTCATAAAACTGTTTATTTAATGATGGATACGATATGTTAAAAACATAGCAGTTGCAAAGAAAGCATGTTGTCGAAGCCTGAAGCTTCCATTTTCAATCTTCGAATGGCACCAATTCAAAAACCATTCCTAATCCTAAAATCAGAAGTAGGGCTGGAGGACAAGGCTCAGACCTGAGCTCATGTTCCCTTTCAGAAATATTTAAAATGAGCTCTCAAACTACGATTGACAATTTAGAGACAAAATGGTGGTTATACAGTTTTACGATATGCAAACAAGGGTTGTCCTTTGTGTATTGCAGCAGGTGTGGAAAGTTGACAATTTAACGGTGAACAAAGCAACCAAGTGAGATCCAAATTAAACAAAGTTTCTTGGTATTCAGTAATGCCGATCTCGTACACCTCCCTTCCAACGCTGGCTTTTAACTCGCTTCCCATGACTAACCAAAACAGAAAGTTTATGTATTGAACCCAAAATTCATTGCATTTGCAGTCGGAAACTCTGAAACTGCTTGCCTAAAATTATACAGATACAGTAAAATTGTTTTGGAATTGGAAGGACTGCAAAGATTTTTCTTTAGATATAATTTGCCCCATCTATTTTTATGACGAGAGGTACAAAAATAGCATTGATTTTGAACAAATTGATATGTGTGCAGAGTTCTGCTTTGAAAATCACTACTATTAACACTCTGCTTTACTCTGCTTTCCAATCTCCAGCGGAAAGGGAGCTGACCCTGGCTTCACACTAATGATTGTCCATTTTCAGCCCTCTTATATAATATACACACATACACATCTACTTACATACATACTTACATACATACATAAATACAACAGGGAACAAGAAAACCAAACAGACCAACCCTGTGGTTCATATCTTCATGAAATATCACTATCTTAATATTTAAAGCTATGCAAACAATACTGGCTTTAAGTATTTACATAAATGTTGATATGTGAAGGGGCCACTAACTATTCCACACAACAGACCACATCACAAAACAAATAAATTAAGCATGGACACAAAGGAATGAGATTCGTATCAATATAACAGAAACAAACACAAAGGCTGCAAGATGCATATCAGGTTTTAACTTTTGGCACACACATTTGAAACAACCTATGATAAAAGTAGTACTGGGGACAGTCACTAACAATAGTCTGCAATAAAAATGCCAGTGGCTCTCCAGCGTACCTCCATCACATGTCTAGATACCGAAACAGAGAGAAAAAGAGAGAGAGTGTATACAGAGGTAGGGGAAATGACAAGATAGACAGAGATTCGAGAAATAAAACAGCTGCCTCAAGCAGCACCACAGACCTACTAATCTACTTTGTAGGCTCTACGTTTTCTAACTCTTCCAATAGTAACATAACTGGATTGAATCCTAAAACACTGTCTAACATTAACAATAAATTAACTATGCATTCATTAAACTTTGTCAAACATAATACATCTGTATGAATAAAATCCAGTTTGGCATAAAATACACATTTTACAATCATAGCTTCAACTCTCAATGGTTGAATTAAAAATACAGAAGAGGAATTCATTTGGAGGGCTGATATTGTTGGACTGTCAAGAATTTTGAATTTACCAAAATATTACATTAAGAAACATAGATAAAACACTACTGATTTTGTATTTCATCCCACTCTGCCCAACAAGATTTCCTACAGCTCCCTTTGGAATGATTTGAACATAAATAATAGGGTAAAAGAAATTGACTTATATACCTAAGAATATTTTTTGGTGATCTCTGATTTACTTTACATGCGATGTTGCACTGTCTTAGCCCACTATTATACTGTCTACATAGCCACAGGAACCTTGGATTTCAATAACAACATTTAAATGAAGCTTTGTGTCTTTAGTTCCCATTAAAATATCTGAGTGTAATTTCTCTATCTCTCTTGTTTTCTGCACTAAAACTTGATGCTTACTCAACCTTGCCTCAAGTTTGGGAACATTATAAAGAAATCAATGTCAATATAAGGTTCCTATAAATTTTTGACTGTCTTGATTTTTAATAACTGCAAATATCTGCTAATGTACTGTCATAAACTATTACAAGTGTAAAACTTGATTACTTATTTCACATACTTTTATAAAAATATCATACCATTCTACATGCTTGTACTACTCAAGACTGTTACTTAATAATATCAACAAAGGAAAACTAAAATATATTACAGCAATACAACAATGGCATTTCAATCTCAAACGAACACCATCCTAGTATCTGTAAAATCATCAGCTTAAGTCCTACTTTCATTTCCTGCCAGCTGGTAAAACAATAACAAATCACACAACATAAAATGAAAATTTTAACAAGTTAACATTTCATTTGATTTCTCACAACACATTCTTCAAAGAAACATGAAAATCTGAACATTTCTTACATAAAAACTGTATTATGAACACTTAAATCATCTATGTCACAAACACAAGTTTCAAATGGTAAAAAGTCGTGATTCATCAATGTTCTGCCTAAATTACAATGCTTTAAGATCATACTATAAATATTTTTGTCACAGTCAGGGCATTTCCCTACCACACTATGACATCAGTAACAGTTTCATTATATTAAAAGTCTGTAGGTTGTGGATTTCTAATGCTGCATCACTTTAGGTCACCCCACATCACCACTGTGTGCTTCACTGCAAGTCTTAGCATAAGTAGATGAGTTGAATGAGAATGCACAAGCTGATTAGGAAGCACAGCACAGAGGCACTTAGATGTTGGACTTCGAGAAGGATACTCGAAGATGGTTTTGTTCACTCAGTTGGTAGTTATGCATTTTCTGTAGAAATAAAACAATTGTGTTAAATTAATGTCAAATTGTGAAAACAGCAAAGGCAGAATCTAAACTGCAATCGATAGACTCACAATTAAAGCACTAACTGCTTCATCCATTGATGAAAGTTGAATGAGAGCCATCTTCCTGTCTTTCCTGCAAAAAAAAAAAAAAAAAGAAACAATTTTTAAAATGTGAAGATTTTTTTTGAAAAAAGCAAAACACACAAATGAGCAAACCAACTTAGTACAAACACACACTCGCACACTCACACATCTCACACTTATATGCATACAAATCCAAATTTATTTTGAAATAGTGCATGGAAAGAAATAATGCCTTTCATTTGCGCAACACATTCAAATATTAAATCAAAGCAAGGCTTTGTATGCCATAACAGTATACCAACAAAAAAATATACCAGGATATGAAAAGTTAAATCTGTCCACAACAAATCAAGGTATCAAGGTATTACTGAATGCAGCAAACCAACATCTCATGCAAATTATTTTGTATCACACATTTATGTTTCATTGGGTGTTAGCCAACCTTGCATAAAATATGATTGCATTTACGTTAATTTGTACAGGTTGCATATTCGTGTTCACTGTGAGATTAATTTGACAGGAATAAATTTTGAAGGACTATTCAAAGGAAGACATGACTAAGTCTTGAGAAGCTTGGACCAGCTGAAAATATACTGTAGTATTTTATCAACTCCTGCAACCCTTATAATGGAGACATCTAGGCTTTCTGTTGTTTCAACCATCACAACCCAATGTGTACAATGAATGATACAATGATGTTAGTGCTGTCAGCAATCTCTTGTGATTAAGATGTATGTAGCTCAACATCAGTTTTTACAGGCCAAAGCATTATAAGTAGATTGCATATTTCTTTTCACATTGTAAAGAAATTTCTTGTGCAAAGTGAAATTCAATAGTGTGTACACTAAAACACAGATACGTATTACATATTTAAAAGGCAAATTCAATAAGGTTAACACCCAGCACACTGCACTCAAGGATCCTTACAAGTCAGAAGATAACTCCAGGACTGATTCACTTGCATCTTCCTTCGATAATTTAACATATGACCTGTATGAGGAATTGGCAGAAGTAACAAAAATTTTACTGCTCAAAAAGGTTTTTGATGCTCAACAAAAGTGCAGTGATACTGTTTCTGCAAAAAGTTTTGATGATTTTTAAAGTACTTACGGGAAAAACTTAAATCCTTTAACTTGAAAACCATTCTTGACAAATGCTTCTGTGATCTCTTCTTCAGATACACTGGGCCTGAAGAAAACAGTTTTGATTATTTCATTCAGCTTGATTGATTGATTGATTCTAAATAAACACATAGTGATACTGGTACTCACGGAATGTTCGATAGGTGTAATGTAGCAGATGGGGGGTAAATATTCTGATAGTTCTTTGAGCCTGGCTTTTTGAAACGATGAAGTGGTGATGTGGTATAGTCTTTAGTGAGTCCAGCATCAGGTTGGCCTTCTTTGGGTAATTGCACATTAAGGTGCTTGGACGGCATAACACGAATTTGCTTCCCAAACATTCGTAGCTTATCCATATGAGTCATAGCTGAAACAAAATAGTCAAAAGTTATTTAAAAAGAAAAACAATGAAAAACATGTTTGTTGTAAAAATGAAAGTAAGACTACTCACCTAAATTTGCCTGGTGTGGCTCGGCCATCTGAATAAGTGCACTGTCTTTCTTGTTGTACAGTATCTTTACGCGTTGTACATCCCCATATACACCTGCATGGAAAAATGAAAATTTCAGTCAGCCAAGCTCCACATTAGAAGCATATTGCAGCTTATTTTTAAAAATGTGCCTGATAAAAAGAAAGATTAATAATAACAACAAAAAAAAACAACCTCTAAAAATTCCCCAAACTATTGTGTGTCTAACTGTGAGCATCTGTATCAATATTAAAAAGGAGAGAAATCAATCTTTTCTAGCATTTCAAAACAAAAATCATGTGGACTGCAATCATAAAATTCAATATACCAAACGTGGTGACTATGGACATGCTTACTTCATTATTTTACTCATGCATCAAGCATAAAAGCATCATTCATCCTTCCACAAATTTTGGGGAAACATTGACGAATTGATAAATATTTTTTTCACTCCCAAAATACTCTTATTAAAGGGGATTGAAATCGAAAAACTGAAACACTGACCCTTGGTGCTGTTAAGCAGTTACACTTGGATTTACTGTGGGAGCTCGATGCATATTACAAAAACATATTCTTTAATACTACTGTATCAGTGAAAATCAACACTGTGAGTGTAGCAAATGATCCAAACGTGAAAAATGAAATGGAAGAGTTTGATGGAAGAGCATGGTTTACCATGCATGGGAGGAAAATCAAGGATACAAAAGGGTTAGCCTAATACCTACAAAGCAATTTAAGGACTCACTAAGGTAGCATGGTTAGAGACTAATATTTCCATAGGTTTGACTATGCACAGCTAGCTGTCTGTAAGGTTGAACTTAGGAAACGCTAACTGGGTCCAACACCATTTTCACTTAATAATCCCTTTCCTTTAAGGATTTCATGTGTAGTGAACATATTTAAAAAACATTTGTGTATTAACTTAGGCTCCCAACAAAAACAACCAAATAAAAACAATCTGTTAAATGAAAATTTAAGAGACTGGGTAGCAGTCATACCACATGAACAGAACTGAAACACAGTGAAAATCGTGTGCAATAACATACCGAATAGGGTAAAGAGAGCATCAGGCGTGACCATCTACGAAGGGAGAGACAGCACAAGAGAGGCGTTGTCGGTTGGCAGGAGTGACACCGCCAGGAAGGCACCAGAAACGGAAAGAAAAACAAATACAAGAGAAACATTAGCTTTTTGTGGAAAATAAAAAAAATATTAAAGACAGGCAGAAATAGTTCCGCATTTAAAAGAGGATTTGATGAATTGAATCTGTTACTAATGAGTCAGGAAAATCGGAAGAAAACAAATAAAGTTGGGGCGCAAAGGATTCAAAGCAAGTCTGTGAGTGAGTGAGCAAGCAAGTGGATGAGGTATGCATCTAATGGGAATTTCTAGCACTCTCTGGCAAACACACGAAAAATGGAGTGTCAGAAAAGGATCAAGGTATCAGCAAGATCCTCTTTCTTGATGAAAGATATAATAAAACATTCGTAAAGAATAGGACTGCGATTCTAGCAATGTTCTAACACCTTACTGTATATTTGATTTCCAACTTGAAGCACACATCCCACCAACACTAGCCAGGCAAAAAAAAAAAAAAAGAGGAAGTAAAAAGGGAATGCAAAGTTGCATTGGGTATTGAGAAAACGGTTATAAATGCATGAAATAATTTTGCTTGAGAGCCTTAAAACCAAACTCTGAAACTCTGAAATTTTACAAATCATTTCAAAAAGATTGAGATTCATTCACAAATTAAAGGGTTAAAGATAAACAGTCATATTTTGACAATTTTGGTGGAGCATGACCATAGGTGGTCTCATCTTTAATTCTATTATTTGAAATAATTCCATAGTGAAATTGTTTAATTTAATGTCAGATACAATATCAGCATTGATCATTAAATTCATTTTTTTTTAGGTGATAAGAAAATAAAACAAAACCAGGCTTTCTGCTACATAGATGGGTGCAAATTGACTAAGCTACTAGAGTCACATTAAATTGTATATGCTTGAGCAGGTGTACAAGCACTCACTCACACAGACTCACTCTGGAATGTACATTATATTTGTAACCTTGCAAAAAACTATCACATCATAGCTACTCTACTTTTATGTCTTTAATTGCCCAGTATGGACAAGATTGTGGCATATTATCAACTACATTTGCTATCTCAACAATTACACTTCCTATAGTACATACTATCACTATGAATTTCGATACCGGAGAAAATGGGAAAGTTTGATACATAATTAATGTGTGTAAATATGCTTGAATCTTACAATTACATTTAAAATGAAACAACCAAATGCGCACACACTGTGCAAAAACCATTGTACTTTGACCATTCACTTCAGAGATCATAAAAATATTAAAAAGTCAGACACAAACTAAAGGAAAAAACAAAACCAAAACAAAAAAAATACCCAGATGGAGGTTGAAATCAAAGAATGGGCTTCCCATTTTCATTCAGAATATGAATCACAGTGCCGGCTGCCGGCATAATCCTGACACTAGTGATCAAAATGGTCAGACCCTTGGCAATTACTGTATTCAATTCAAGCCGGACTTGGAGGGTTTTATAAATCCTCATGAAATGCGAGAAAGTAAGGATAAAATGGAAACTATTGTTAAAGTTAAAAAAAAGCAAATCATAAGAAGTTAAAAACAAAATAAACAACAACAAAACCAAAACTACAGATCTAATTTGTAAATGGCTCGAACTCATGGAAATTTGAAATCCCTCATGCATATACTAGACAAAACCAATAAAAATCGAAATAAAGAAAGAACACACATATACAAAACATGGCCAAAATTTTTGAAAGGAGACCATCTCTGCGAACAGAGAAGCACATGATTATCTGCCTGGTACACCAGCGTGGGGAAGTTTGAGGGCGAAAACAGTGCCCTGCGTTTCTCTACATCATTCCACGCCAATGCCAATGGCCGCGGTTCCTACGGTCGATTTCGTCTCGCGGCGCAGAGAGCCCAAACCAACTTTTGAGCAACGGTGCCCGTGTTCGACACGTGCGTTCGACAATGCTTCGTCGCTCTGTCTCTCTCGCTCCCCTCAGCAGGCGCGGATCCAGAGGGGGAAAATATGGGGGAGGGGGCAAAAGAACAATTGACACACCCTTGGCCCCGAGATAGCCACTCTTTACCCCCTGTAAGTAGGCGAAAAGTGCATCTTTGCCCCCCCCCCTCAGCCCGCCTCTGGATCCGCCACTGGGACTTCCCTCCGAAACGCCCTATGGGTATGAGAGGGAAAAAGCGACGAAACCGGCGACGGAGTCAGTGTGCTGGACGCAACGGTCGCTCTTCGGGACTTTCGCCCAGAGCGACTGGGTCAGGGGCACAGCCTCGGGCACAGCCTCGGGCACAGCCTCGGGCACAGCAGGCGGCAGGCAGCGCCGCTACTCGGTACAGTGTGCCACGCCTGCTGTGCCCTAGGCGCTCGGCAAGGTGATCGGTACGTACCTCCTCATTCAGGTTGCTCACGAGGAGGACGCACTGGCCGCCGGGCTGGCCGGTTAACCGCAGCCCCGCGGCGCCCAGGGCGTTGGCGGCGCCGGGCAGGGAGAAGCCGGCCAGGGGCATGCCCGCCGCGGCTGTCGACAGAGCAAGCACGGCGTCAGTCAGAGGGAAAAGCAAGACCAAAAGGCAGAAGCACCTCCTTGGATTGGAACAGAGGACGGCGACGAGGCCTACCTCCCACAGCTGAGTTGCCGTAGGGTCCTGTCAGCGGTGATCCCAGGCCGTGCATGGCGGCGAAGGGAGAGGCCAGCACACCAGCGGCACCTGCAAGCAGAGGGGCAGAGAGTGAGAGCAACGCGGCAACGTCGCGAGAGGAGAACAAAGTCCTCGTTAAAAAGGTTCGCGTAAATGGATGAGGGACGGTGCAGGGACCGGGCGGACCGAACACCTCAGTACCTCCGCTCCACGAAAACACTCAAGAAAAAAAAAACATCATTTCAGGAAATGAAGTCGCTTTCCGATTGTTTTCGCCACTCGAACGGCGCGGCGCGGCGCCTCGTGAAAGAAGCAAAGAAACAGAAACAAGGGGTATGGCAGACAATGGCGCGCGAGCGGCGGGGGAAGGCCGAAGGCCTGCACTGCCTGCACTGTGCTGTGCGGCCCCGCGGCCCCGCCCCGCGCCCCGCGCTTGGCGTTCTTGGCCTCCACCACGCCACGCCAGGCCAGGCAGGCCAGCTTTGCGCTTCTTAGCACAGAGTGCCAACGAGGCACTCCGGCCAATTTGAATATTTCAATTGGCCGCTCTGCGCCACGCTACGCCGCGCTGCAGACTGAGTTTTGTCGCTCTGTCTCTCTCGCACCTATACGGGACGCCCCTCGAGTGCGAGAGAGACAGTGCGACGGGAACGACTTTTGGAATCAGACCGCAGGCAAGGAGGCAGGCAGGCGGGCCACCTTGACGCAGGTTAATTTATCGCGGCGCCAACGCGTCCCCGAAATCGAACCAAAGGGGCAAATATTTGGCCATCGTTCATCACAACCTTCCCCGCCGCACTTGAGTGGCGGTTCCGAAAATGGGGTGGTTTAGGGTGGAACCGGGTATTCCGAAGCAATCCGGACCCGTGAGGGGGTAAACACTCGCGCAATACCCTGTACAAAAAACCGTGTATTACGGCATTCCCAACACTGGCGACGGTAGGCAACCCGCATTGCCCCCTACAGGCAACGTCCTTGTCGCACTTACCTCCCAGCCCGGCCATGCCGAGCCCCAGCGGGCCCAACGCCCCCATGGAGCCCATCTCCATGCCCGCGTCCCCGGTGGGCAGCCCGGGGTTGGTGTAGTCCCTGCTCTTGTCGTTGTTGTACTTGACGTTGAGGTTGCTCAGCTTGGAGTACTCAATCCGCAGCGTGCAGCACGAGTTGTAGATGTTCTGGCCGTCCAGGGACTGCGGGACAAACAGACAGACAGGATTGGCACATTGTCTTAAATTGGCGAATTGCGTTCAACAGCAGCGGCAGCCCTTTTGGCTCGGAGACGATTTTTTTTGGCCGATGAGACGGCGGCTCCGCCCCACCACACAGTCACACACTTGCCCCCTCCCTCCCGGTGCCTTTTTTGGCTAGACCGGCACGGCGCAGCCCGGCACACCCGGCACACCCGGCCGGGCCCCGTCTGCCCACAAAGAGGCCCTGAATACGCCCGTGGGAACCTAATTGACTATGACAGATCGGCCGAGCCGCCGAGCCGCTCCCAGCCTCCACCCCACACCTAGTTCCCCCATTTTCGCACGGCCAGCGCTGCCGGCAAGGCTGCCGGGGTTCGGGCCGTTCGGGCCGTTCGGGCCGTTCGGGCCGTTCGGGCCGTTCGGGCGCAGCGCCTCGCATCGGGAGATTCCCCTCATTGCGACGGCGGGGCAGCGGGGCAGCGGGGCAGCGGGGCCTAAAGGCTCGCCTCACTCGCGGGGGCCTTGCGCCCCAAACGACCCCCAGCGTCAAATGGAAAGTTCCATCCCCAGTTTCCATTTCACCCAATTTCTTTCCAGTACGTATAACGCAGCAGGAATCCAAAGCCCTCTAATTTGATCGAATTTTTAATTTCGTGCCGGTTTGCACAACCCGTGAACCTGACAAAAGCACTGAAAAAGGCGAGAAATTGAGAACCAGAATTCTTGCCACGAATTGGCGGTCCCCACGTTACATAGGGTGGTAGAATAATTCATGCCGAAATGTTGTGATAATTTTGACTTGATCTCTCGCCGAAATTTCGTCAGAATTCTCAACCTTTAATTTTCAGTGAGGACAAATGGCCGAAATTGAGAAATGGAATTAAAAGTGGCACTTCGCTCGCACCGCGTCAAGGTTATTTGCGCTTGCCGATCGCTCTCCTTCCTCCTTGCTGCCTGACGTGACGTCACGTGACGCACTCGATGCATCGTGCAGCAGGTATAGCGCCCCACTTGACTTTCCAGTGCCCATTTTATTTTTCACCCGCGTCACGGTTGCCTCGGTAACCGGTGGCCGCGGGCGCCGCGGGCGAAGCGAAACTCACGCGGATGGCACAGCCTGGCCACAGCAGGACAGCGCGACGGTCAATTTATCTTTCGGCCGCGCGGCAGTCAAACTGAATGTGGCAATACACACCGCAGCGTGGCGGGGCGTGGCGGGGCGAGGCGCAGGGGGCTTTGATTGATTTGAATTCATGCCAGCCGGACCTTATATATTATTCGAGACGACACAAAAAAAAAAACACACACACCACCACAAAAATGGCCTGAAAATAGATGGGGAGCGGGCCGCGGTGGGTGACTTAGGTGTTGTTTTGTTCCGGTCGGTGGTAACCACACGTTGTCCGCTACGCCGCCGCCCCTCCTGTTTGGGCCTTGTCAATACCCCCACCCCTCCCCCCAACCGGTCTCTACACAACACAAACTAGCCTTCCTAGCGCTTGGGCTTCGCGCAAACATGCGCCGCCGAAAGAGTGGAGAGATATGGGTGTGTCGTTCCGGGTCACTCGGCCGAAGGGCGGCCAAGTCGAGGTCTCGACCCAAGTAAAGCAAATAGGGAAAGTATCTTTGCTACAAAGGCGCATCAAACATTTGTGCCCGCAGCGTGGGCCCGAAAGCACTATAGTGTGTGTGAGGAGTGCGAGTGTGGACACGTGCGTGTGTGTGAGTGGGGTGTCTGGAGGTCGGCAGTCCGCACGGTCCGCACCACTACACTCGGTTCGCCACCAGATCCCCGAGGCGTTCGGCCTCGCGTTCGGCCCGCTCGGCACGGAGCGCGGCCGAGCGACTCTGCCTCTGTCGCACGCGGGGCTCTTGGGAAGATTGCGAGAGAGACAGAGCGACTAAGCCAGCGGTTCCCAACCAAAATTTCGAGGGGTCGCGGCTGTTTTCCGGCTGGCAGAATTGTTCAAAACGGTCGAAAATGCCTTTGAAAACTCGTGTTTTAGGCCGACTTTAAGCAGCAACTGCTTCTGATCCGAGGCGGTATTTCGTCCTCCCTCAGCGGGCATTTGGTCTATGGACCTTCCTTTAGTATGCCTTTGTTACGGAGTTCGATTATCGGCCTTAGTTTGGGAGCAGTGTTGTCTCAAAGTGGATCAAAATGGCATTCAAAGGCATTTTTTACTGTTTTCATCAACTTTGAGACAATACTGCTCCCAAACTAAGGCCGATAATCGCACTCCGTAACAAAGGCATGTTAAAGGAAGGCCCAGAGACCAAATGCCCGTTGAGGGAGGACGAAATACCGCCTCGGATCAGACGCAGTGGCTGCTTAAAGTCGGCCCAAAACACTATTTTTCAAAGACATTTGTGGCCGTTTTGATCAACTTTGCGGCAATACTGCTTCCCCAAACTAAGGTGGATTATCGCACTTTATCAAAGGCATGCTAAAGGAGGGGTCGCGTGGGGTTGCGAAATTTTTCCTGGGGGCCGCGGAAATTTTTGTTACAAATTTGGGGCGCGAACCGAAAAAGGTTGGGAACCGCTGGACTAAGCGATAGCTTCTAGATCGCTCGGCTGGTGCGACGCGCCTTAACCCCCTTTGCTAGAGGAGTTTGGTCGTGACGTTTTGGAACGCTGACAAACGCACTGTTTCCTCCATCCTTTGGCCTCTGGTCGCGACCCGCGGCCAGCCCGTAACATTATATCCCCGGAGCTGTCTGTCAAAACACGAGGGGTAGCAAGGGCTTTATTGGCTTTTCGGCGTTGGCGTTAGTGTGTGTGTGTGTGTGTGTGTGTGAGAGAGAGAGAGAGAGAGAGAGAGAGAGAGAGAGAGAGAGAGAGAGAGAGAGAGAGAGAGAGAGAGAGAGAGAGAGAGAGAGAGAGAGAGAGAGAGAGAAGAGAGAGAGAGAGAAGAAGAGAGAGAGAGAGAGAGAGAGAGAGAGAGAGAGAGAGAGAGAGAGAAAGAGAGAGAGAGAGAAGAGAGAGAGAGAGAGAGAGAAGAGAGAGTGTCTCGCTCTGCCCGTGAGCGCGCAATATCGGCCCCGGGCAGTGAGACCCCACCGTAAGTTAGGCGACCTTCCCCTGCCGGCCGGCCGGCCGTGGCCTGCCGGTCACGGGGGCCAAGTGGACACATCATGCACCGACGGCGGAAACTTTCTCCCCTTTTGACAAATTGAGGCGCGAGGGGGAAGAAGGGGGAGGCCGCTTAGGGACGTCCCCTGGGAGCGTTCGGCGCAACGCGACGCAACGGCGGCACATCGCACGAGTCGGTCGCACCCCGGGCTGTCTAGGCGAGCCTAGGCGAGCCGGGCGGCGACGGCATCGACCAAAGGCATTGATCCCGACATGAACAGCGGCCAGAGCCACCCCAGTCGGCCGAAAACACTTTTCGAGTAGAGAACGAGAAAAACGTCCAAAAAGAGAGGGAACCGTCGATTTTGCCGCACGGCCCTCGCGACGAAATGAGCCGGCGGCCTGTAGCTCCCCCCGCCCCTCCCCCTCCACATCGAGTTGAGTAATTAGAAGCGCCCCGCCCCGCCCCAACTCTGCAAACTGCCCTCTCTTGGCGACTCCACCGCCCCGCCCCCCGCGAGCCCGCTCCGCGCTCCGCCGGCCTGGCCTACAACAAGTGACACTATACTTTCACCCCCACCCCGCCCCGCCCCGCCACGGACGACTGAACACAAAGTAGACGCCCTGTTGCGGCAGATTGAGAAAGCCAAGAGTTACGCCCTGAGCCGACGACCGCCGCCGCTGCTGCTTCGGTAATCAAAAGAAGAACGTACCCAAAGTGGCAAAGTGCCGAGCACGCTAAGTGGCGACACAAGGCCCGCACCGTTAGGCCCTACACTACAAACCCTGACAGTGCCTTGCACCGCCAAGCCGCCAAGACGAGGCGGAGGCATTGCGTTAGTCTCCTAGCGCAAATTGGAAGTCCAATGAAGCGTGCAATGACAACGTGCGCACGTCTAACAGAGTAGGCGTTGCGACGTGTGTCGTCACAGCATTGCGCGCGAAACCATCATGAAGCCTACAGTTATACGCTGCAAGCAACCAAGGAAGAAACATAAAAAAGGCCCCAAAATTTACAGAATTTTCTGCAAAGAGGCATTGGCTGCACCGACGGCGCGGAGATTCCAAAGCAGTAGTGTTTACAAACTAAATTGATCCACACCCCCCCGCCCACTTGGGGTCCGATCAAAAGGACGTTAGGCGTGGCACGGCCGAGGCAGCGCCCTTAGAGGACCTCCGAGGACTTTACTCACCAGTTTGGCTGACTGAGCAGTGACCACGTCCGGGTACTGAATAAGAGCTTGGAAGGAGTCTGAAACAGGATAGTGGAACATGCTCAGAGAGGAAGACACAAACTCGCTACGGATAAAGACACGAGTTATGTAACGGATCCAAAGCAACAGTTTACCGAAGGTAACGTTTCATCAAAGAGACTAAATGACCCTAAACCAATACGAAAAATAGGTAACGTGATACAGAGAATCGCATCTAGAGAGTTCTAAGGATAGGGTTATTTATTGAGATACAGCTGACAGTATGAGAAACGTTAATCCATAGTTTACAGATTTACCACCTCCTCGCACCCTGAGGGCGTTCCGCGGACTAAAGTTCACCAGCGTCCGAAAGTCCGAAGGGAGAAACGAAAGGTAAAGTGCACTTACTGTTTTTGGTGAAGGTGACGATCTTGAGCACTTTGCCGAACCGCGAGAAGAGCTGAAACAGAAATAGGCCGACATGAATGCCATGAGGAAATGCCGCAGACCGCCAAAGTTTGATTTTCAATGAGCATTCCGGCGTCTGGATTCCAGGGATTCTAAGCGGAAAGACGGAAACAAGGCCATTTCCAGGAAAGGAAAAAATTCCAATGCTTACGCATTGCACGGTGTTCCGGTTGTGGAAATAATGTAAGTTAATGAAAGAAGATTTGAAGTTAGAAATACGATGAAGAAGGGAGTAAATTTTATATTTTGGGGCTGAGAGAGAACCGCAGCCTTTAAAAGCAAGCCAAACAACCCAACCTCAGCAACAATGGAGAGGCAGTTTCAATGTGCGACTACTTGTTTTTTTCAGCCTCGCGATTTTCGAAAGGGCGCAGACGCCGGGAAAATTGTTGCCAACCCCCGAAAATCTATTTATTCTGTCTTTTCTGCTGCGAACCTTTTACTAATGACAGATTTGAATGATGTTTAAATGTCTTGTCAGTGTGCAATGAGTGAACATTGGCATTTTCGAATTTTACGGCGTTTTCATTTCTTTTTATCAGGGACTTAAAATTTTGACAGTTGGTACGTTGGCAGTGAGACGTTGTCATGGAGACTTTTTCTTCATGTTTTTATCATTTTCTTAGAACAGTGATTAGTTTTTGTCACTTTGATGAGGCAGGAAGTTTAGTTTTGAGGAGTGGCACATTTTTTCTTCGAAACGTTTCTGGAAAATGTGAACGGATAAGGGTGCTTGATTGTTGCAAATTTATGTTTTAGTCGTTTACGGAAAATTTCCACGATAAATTTTTTAGATTTTCTGGACTTTTTATTGTATTATGAAAAGGATTAATATGGCGGGAGCGAAATGTCCATCGTGGGGGGTCCGTAGAAGAAGAATTCTGAGCCCCGGGCAATAGGGGTCCTCCTTCGTCGGAACCCCTAAAAAGAGAACTGCGACGGGCGCGCAATGTTTTTCGGCTGCTTACAGGAAAGTTACAAGAGCTTTGTTTCACAGAGTGCCTCTCGCTGACGACTGTACAATTTACTGTACACCAAAGGTACGGTCTGACCGAAACCTTCTTCCTTTTTTTAAGTGAAGGAGGGGGAGTTGTGCGGGCCGTGCGGCGGGACTCATTCACAGAACGAATTCGCGCACCGATTTAAGTTATGAATGAGAGCGCCCAGGACTCGGTTCCCAGCACCAGGGCGTTTCACTTGGCACTGCGGTTCGAGCGGCGTTCGGTGGCTGGATGGGTGGATGCTGATTGGGTGGAAGCACTGCCGAATGACTTCAACGAGGGGAGAGCGTGCCGCGCCGCAGAGGACACCGACGGGGACCGACCGGGACCGACCGGGACCACCGAGGCAATTTAGCATACCGGAGCGGTTTCGCCTTGAAATGGGATCTCCAGAGCGTAATACCTGGCAATAGCAGCCCATCACCACCCCGGCCGCGTCCCCCCCCCAGGTGGGAGCCTCCAGACTGGAGCCTCCAGGGAGAGTGGTTCCGCGCCGTCGCTCTGCCTCTCTCGCACCGCGACCACGGGGCGCGAGTGCGAGAGAGACAGAGAGGCGCCGTCCGGAAGCAGCCTGCGGCTCACCCCGCGATCGCGGGGGAGAGGAGGGAGAGCGGCGGATCCGGGAAAGCGACGCCAACTTGGAAATTAACGTCAGATTCACTAGTTCATGCCGGGTGCATAATACGGGCGGGGATCTCGGGACGACGTCCCACTCTCTCTCTCTCAGACGAGGAGCGGCGGGGCGGTAATGAATTTGGCCAGCGGAGGCACACGCTTGCGATTGCGCGACCTCCACGCGCGCTCCGCTTGGCGCCGCTTGGTGCGGTGGGTGTTCGCACACTTTAAAACCAAACAGTTTTAAAGTGAATGGAGAACAGCGCGGCGACTGGAGAGCAAAGAGGAAGGGGAATGCCCTGGCAGCAAGGTGCTCGTCCAGAGGGAGGTTGACGGACGGACGCGAGCAAGGGTTGAAAGGGGGGGGGGTGCTGCCGCGAGACAGCCCGGGCAGACGTGTTCGCTCCGCCACTGTCAAGGCAAGGTGCGTCGGACGGCGAGTCGGACGACGGCCAGCCCCGCCTCACCTATAATGAGGATAAGTGACCGTGCCGTAACGAGCCGCCCGAGGCTCGCGGGGGACTGATTCCCGGGCGGGACGTCTCTCTCTCTCTCTCTCTCTCTCTCTCTCTCTCTCTCTCTCTCTCTCTCTCTCTCTCTCTCTCCTTTTCTCTCTCTCGCTCGCTCGAACTCGTAGGGCGTCCCTCGCGCGAGACAGAGAGCGCTCGCGGAATCAGCGTGCAGCCCCTCTCGTAAATATGCCGGCTAGCTGGCCAGCTCACCCTCTGGCACGCCCTCCACTCCACGGCAAGCGCCGGCAGCCAGGTAGCCAGCCAGCCGGGCAGCCTGAGCTGGCAGGCAGCCCCTCAGCCAGACGGCCTGCAAGGCCTGGACGGCGATCTGATCAATAACCGCGGCATGGCCAAGGCATGGCCAAGGCATGGCCAAGGCATGGCCAAGGCATGGCCAAGGCATGGCCAAGGCATGGCCGTGCCGCCGAGCCGACCGGCTGTCTCCGTCTGTCCTCCCCGGACCCGAGGGCCCAGGGCCCTGCCCTGGGCGAGGCCAAGTAAAGGGCCACTCCGCCGACCCCAAGCCGACCCGTGTGCAATCGGCAGCCACTGATTCCTAGAGCCGTTTTCGTCGCTGTCTCTCTCGCACCTACACGAGACACCCCAAGAGAGACAGGGGGACGAAAACGACTCTTCCGAATCGGCCGGCAAGTCCCAAAGACGCATGCTGACCCGTATTCCATTAGCTCGACCCGATTTTAACCAGTGGGCCGTCACCCCCCTTCCCCTTCCCCCGCCCCCTTTCCCTTTTCTCTCGGCGTGCAGTTCTGGCCGCCCTTTAAGGATGCTGGCCACATCTGTCATCATTAGCGCGGCCCTTGCCCTCCCGGCCCTGCGGCCCTGCTGGCCCACCTGGCCCTACCTCACCCACACCGCCGCGCCGCCGCCTGCAACCCTCAAGTCCGGCGCCCGGCCAACCCTACCAGCCCCGCCAGCCCCGCCTGCCCTTCACGGCCTACGCGGCCTTCACGGCCCCGTGAACCAAAATGTGGGCCGCGTTCACGGAAGTCCCCCCCCCCTCCCTTCCCCCCGCCGACTGTCCGGTGCGGAGCGCGGCTGCGCGGCACGGGCCTCGAAAGGCGCTTGGGGAGCGGCCAAATTGATGGATTACAGCCGACCCCCGCATGACCAGAACGGAGGGGGGGGGGTCGTAAGGACAATTTCCAAGAGGACCTGCCGGCCGGCCGTGTTGATGTTTTCCTTTCTCGCGGTAAGCGGCCCGTCGCACGCACTTTTATACTCACACAGTCACACAGAGTGACGCGGACACTCACGGACACACACACCGCTACACAGACGCCATCAAGGAGCCCCTCGGGCCGCCCCGCCCACGCACGTACGCTGCCCCTCCGGCCCCCTCCCCTCCGCTCCGCTCCCCGTCGGTAACGACCCTCGTCAATCTGCTACCTGGAATGGGCGGATTTGCCGAAGCCATCATACGCTCTTCCCCCGCGCGCCGCACCGCGAAGAGTGAACGGGGCGGGGCGGGGCGGGGCCATGCCATCGGCGGGGTCGTTACGCGGCGCAGCGGTCAGTAATGGACGTAAAACGCGGCAAAACTGGCGCTGTCATCGCCGCATCATGCAGAGCGCTAGCGAGTCCCTTACAACAGGGGCGGGAACAATGTCCTTTTTTTTTTTTGGTTTCCAAAGTTGGTACGCGCCGTGCATCGTCCTCCGCCACCGAACGGTCACAGTGTAGCCAACTCCAGCGGACCGACCCCCGCCGGGGCCCCGGCCGCGCCAGTGTCCGGTCCAGGAATGCTGTTGGCACCGACAAGCCCGTTGTAGTCGAGGTTAATTCACCACTAAGTAACTAGTTTCTCCCCCTGCCTGCCTCGCCTGCCCGAGCCCTGCGGACGCCGACCCCGCACTGCCGCGCTGACCGCGCCGACCACCGAATCGGGGCGACCAGGGCCGATGCAACCGCAAGGGGGCGGCGGGGGCGAGCCACGGCCGGAGGGGAGGGGAGGGCCGCAGATGGGGCTGGAGCGGACTGAAGGCCCACGTCCAACGCCACCCGTCCGGGCCGTCCGGGTGATTGCGGGTTTCACTGTCAGCGCCGAGGACTTCTTGATCGGGACATTTTCTTTCCGATGCTCGTAGGCTAACGGCAAACACAACGAAGCCGGGGCAGCTTGTACCTCCGTTTGTACACTGTACATAATTGTCAAGGTGAAACACAAAACTGAAACGGAGAACTTTTTATTTCCTGTGCGCCCTAGAGCGCGAGGCCACCCCTTCCCTTCCGACTCGGTGCGTATACACTGTACACGCCACGCCCTCGCGTGCGGCCCGGCCCCACGGCCAGGCCTCGGCCAGGCCGGCCCGGTCGTCACAATCGTCACATCGTATCGCTGTCACAACTACAAGCCAACAAACGTCACGTGACGCCGCCCAGCGCCACAGGCGGGCCAAAGTTTTAACGACGCGGACCTCGTAAAGCGAGGGGCCGTCTCGGCGAGACACACGGACTCGGCGCGGATGGACGCACAGTGGGTCAGGAGACCGGTGGAGGCGGACAAAATCCCCGACGCGTTCTCAGCTCCAGAGTCGCGACATGGGACTTGAACCGAACGTGTGACCCCACCAATGGATTGCTCTGAACGAGGAATCTATTGGTGGGGTGACAAGCTCGGTTCGAGTCCTGTTTAGCGACTCTGGAGCTCGAAACGTGTCTACAGTTTTGGCCGCCGGGGCCGGTCTTCTGGCCCACTGCGTAACGCAAAGGGATGCTGTGCCACTCACCTGATGCAACACGTCCAACGTGACGGGGTAGACCATGTGCTCGACGATGACTCTGAGGACGGTGTTGGGGCCTCCCTGCACCTCGTTGGGCGCCGAGCCGGACAGGGCCTGCGCGGCCTGGAGCGCGGCCTGGGCGGAAGCGTTCTGGAACAAGAGGCGAAGGAGAGGGTTAGGAAACACGAGTCGATTTTCTGGTTTCATTTTCCGGTGTGACGGACTCAAACAGCCCCGCAAGGAGGTGGGAGGTTGTCATTTTCTGTAGATTTTGACGTTGCGGCCTCTGTCGTTTTGACCTCTGCTGTTTCGGCCTCTACCGCGCAGCCTCGACCGTTCGGCCTCTGACGTTTAGCCTCTGTCGTTTGGGGATCTCCTTTTTACTTTTTCATCCCCGCGCGCTTTCATTGACCATACTGACCAGCCCGCGCCACGCCTCGCTCCGCCTCGGCCTCTAAAAGGGGGCAAACGATCAGACGACTCGGCACAGGTGCTGCAGGGGGCTTGGGGGCCGCGGGGCTCGGGGCCGCGGGGCTTGGGGGCCGCGGGGCTTGGGGCCCGCGGGGCTTGGGGGCCGCGGGGCCGCGCTGCCAGGCAAATGACGCCCCTGCCATTCCCCCTCGCCATCCTGGCCGGCAGTGAGCGACAGAGGCAGCCCCCGAGAGTCGTAAAGCCCGCTAAAGGAATCCACGAGGAATCGAGTCCAAATTCCGGAAAGGCCGCGCCGCGCCGCACCGCACCGACGCCGTAAAAGCCGTAAGAGGCGAATTCGGCGCCGTAAACCGAAGCGGCGGCCGAGGCGTGGCGGGGCGTGGCGTGGCGAGGCGTGGCAGGGCGTGGCGAGGCGCGGTGCTACACCGACTGCATGCCAAGGGCGAAAAATCATAACGGGGGACGGCCGTAAATTGGGATAACGACACGACGCGCAGTCTCCAAGACGACCACACTGTAACTGTAGTAGCACCACCGCGGCGCTGCCTCCGCCGCGCCTCGAGCGACATCGCCATCAATCCCGCCGAAAAAGCGCACAGAGTGAAACGGGGCGCCGCCGTCCGGGTTCGAACCCGCGACTCGCGCGCGCCGAGCCGAATCGCTGCGAAAACGGTTGGGGCGCGCAGGCAATGTCGCGAGGGATGCGGGGTCAATGGCGGCCTAGATGGCGGCGCGAGGCGAGGCGGGACGGCACACCGGAAGGAGACTCCGGGGGCGCCACAAGTTAGTTGCGCAGCAGACTTAGCGCCGAGTTTTCAGAGGGCCAGATGGATGTAGCAGACAGAGACAGACAGACAGGGAGGGACTGCGCAGGCGGACCGCTCGTCTTTCAGAAGACATGGATGTATATGCTGAGGGGATTAATCCCACCGCAAGGACTAAGGCCACAAAAGCCTGACGAAGGGAGAGTGCTCTCCGCCCGGCCGCCCGAGGACCGCGTCGTCCGTCCCCCCTCCCCTCCCCTCCTCGACCCCGTGCCCAGTGACCCACTGCCGAGTCTAGGATGTGTCGGGAAAAATTGAGTTCCCCGCTCGAGCGCGGATCATAATCCCCATGATGGGCCTCCGCGCCGCTCTGCCCGCTCTGCCCGCTCTGCCGTGCGGCCTGCACAAGAGAGCCGCCTGTTGAGGAGCAACATGTGGCCCTTGAGCATATACCACCAGGGGCGGCGGGCGGGGCCTGTTCTCGACACACACACACACACACACACACACTCTCCGGGAAACCGTATGGAACGCTGTGTAGTCCCGAACCCCCGCCGCTGCTTCCTGATCTAATTCAACGCAACGCCGCAAGCACGGCGCCCCATCAAAGGCGCGCCGCACTCGATGCCGCGCCGAGCCGTGCGCACAACTAGCGAACAATGTGGGGGCCGGGAAAAACAAAGAGGCAACGGGGAAAATGCTTGGAGCCTACCGACCGCACCAAACGGCACGGCACGGCACGGCACGGCACGGCACGGCACGGCACGGCGGGCTGCGGAACGCCTGCCGAGCAGGCAGTGCCGCCGAACACGCGTGCGCGCGGGTTGCCTACCCGGCGGTTCGCAGGCGCTTCCCGCAGGCTGACTCCGTCCTGGAGCCGTCGCTCTGTCTCTCTCGCACCTACGCGGGACGCGCCATGAGTGCGATAGAGACAGGGCGATGAAAGCGACTCTGGGAATCAGTCTGCCGGTAGGCAGCCGCAGGCGCGGAGGGGCCTCTGCCAGTCGTCTGCCAGTGCCTCCAGGGGACAGCAGGGACGGCGGGGCGGCGCGAGTGACCTCACCGCAAATCCAAAACCCATATCCAGTCCGGTGCGGTGCGGCAAGGCCTGCAGGCCTCTGGCCGTCTCCGCCTAATGCACCGACGGCACACCGCGCCACGCCACGCCACGCCGCGCCACGCCGCGACTCTCTTAATAAAAAGAGACGATTCATGTGCTCAGACGTAAGCCCCCTGGCCGGCCAGCCCCCGGTCGCCTCGGTCTCTCTAAGTCCGACGCTTAAATAGACCGCAGAGCGGAGCGGCCAGCGCGGCCGGGGCGCGTGGCGGGGCGGCTGGCTTCCCTTGCGGCCGGGCGGCGGCGAGGAAACACGGAAAAAAGAAGAGATAAAATAAAGAAGAAGGCAGAGGGGCGGCGCGTTGCCGCGTTGCGTGGTGCGGTCCGGCAGAAACACACTTTCGGACAGGAAGCAACATCGGCCGGCGGACGGGACAGCCGTCTTGAGCGGAGCGCGCGGAGCGGCCAGTGTTTTATTATGGATACGAATGGGCCTTTCAGCGTGCCCATTCAGCCGTTGCGCCTCCGTCTCTCTCGCACTCACGGCGCGTCCCCCAGCGGTGCGAGAGAGACAGAGCGACGACACAAGACTCGTCGGAATCGCTTGGTAGGCCGCGCCGCTCACCGCGCCGTGTCCCATCTCATCTCATTCCGACTCGCCCCCAGCGCGGCGCGGCCTCGGACTCTGCCTCGGCGGCCAGCTTGACGGAGGCCATGTCCGCCGTGTCCGCCGCGTCAGCACACGCAGCGAGCGCACCGAGGCCAGCGCCATTTAAAATGATCATCCAGGGCGTCCCCGCGGCCCCGCGGCCCCCGGGCGACTGAGCGCTCCGCGGAGGGCTTACTTGGCTCTGTCCTAAACCCCGCGCCGTCCGGGGCCGGCCAGGGGCGGCCGCGGGCGGAGGGGGCGGCCGGGGCAGCTCGGGGCACGTACTGCGAGGGTCCAAGAGGGACTCGGGGGCAGCGCGGGGGCAGCGCGGGGGCAGCGCGGGGGCGGGGAGGGAGACTTGGCGGACGTGACGCCATCGCCGTGGTCCTGCCGTCCAGGCCGTCCAGCACACGGCGGACGACGCCAAGCCACGCCTCTGTCAGCCCGGCCTTGCCTGGCCTTGCCGCTGCACTGGACCAGGTTGTTGGCGGAGGGGGAGGGGGGGGAAGCGCAGGCCACAATCCCTCTCCTGCGTGCCGTGGTAAAGCTTGTCCAGCCGGACGGAGCGGGGGAGGGGGGGTGCAACTCACGGCGGGGCATTCATCATCCACGGCGCGCAAGATTCGCCGGACGCAGCGACAGACAGAAACACACAGGGCGACTGAAAAACAAAGGTGGGGCAAAAACCACGTGCAAAGCCGACGGGACAGTCGTCACCGCCACCTGCGCGTCCAGCCATTTGTCCGGCACGGGGCAGACTGGCGGTGGTCCGATTCGGAGAGCCGTTTTTGTCCGTCTCTCTCGCACCTACGCAGGACGCCCCAGCGACAGAGATAGAGCGACGAAAACGAGTCTCTGAAGCAGTCTGCTGCAGACTGACCGTGGACAGACCGCCGCCGGCAGTCCCGTCGTGCAGCGCGTCGGTTCGTTTCGCGGCGACCGGCGACCGCCAAAAGGCAAAAGGCGCTGCTGTCCTCCGCGCAGCGCGTTAACAACGGAATGAAAACAAAGCGGGGCCGTGAAACGATGCGAGCGCGCGTCGCGGCACGCAGCGGCACGGCCGCCGCGAGGCGCTGCAGGCCGTGCTGCAGGCCGTGCTGCAGGCCGTGCTGCAGGCCGTGCTGCAGGCCGTGCTGCAGGCCGTGCTGCAGGCCGTGCTGCAGGCCGTGCTGCAGGCCGTGCTGCAGGCCGTGCTGCAGGCCGTGCTGCAGGCCGTGCTGCAGGCCGTGCTGCAGGCCGTGCTGCAGGCCGTGCTGCAGGCCGTGCTGCAGGCCGTGCTGCAGGCCGTGCTGCAGGCCGTGCTGCAGGCCGTGCTGCAGGCCGTGCTGCAGGCCGTGCTGCAGGCCGTGCTGCAGGCCGTGCTGCAGGCCGTGCTGCAGGCCGTGCTGCAGGCCGTGCTGCAGGCCGTGCTGCAGGCCGTGCTGCAGGCCGTGCTGCAGGCCGTGCTGCAGGCCGTGCTGCAGGCCGTGCTGCAGGCCGTGCTGCAGGCCGTGCTGCAGGCCGCCGGGGCGGAGGGCCCAACGATCAACATTTCACGGGGACGCCCCTTCGTCCCGCCCCGCCCCGCCCCGCCCCGCCCCGCCCCGGCCCTTGCCGGAGTCCCGGGGAGTCGGGCGCGTAGAGGCAGCACCGGCAGCACTCACCTCTGCCTTATTCAACATTCAATTCCACGTAATGTCGGAAGGGAAGGGGGCTGAGGAGGGCCGGGGGAAAGGGGGGGGGGAGGCTCCCGCTGAGCACAGAGACGGTCGTCTCCGCCATCGAACACCTTGCTCAACACTCCCTGCGTTTATCACGCGCCACCTCGGGCTGGAGGCAGAGGCAGTCCCACCCTGGTGGTCTTGACGGCCTCGTCCTCATCGTGGCGAGGGCGGGGCGGGGCGCGGCAGGCGAGGTCCCCCACGGGGGCGCTGAGGACGCAGCCAAGGGGAAAAGGAAGACGGCGCGAGGGGAGCAGCGACAGGTGAGGATCCGAAAGGGGACGAGCGCGGAGAAGAGGTCTACTACCCCAGGCAGGCAGCCAGGCAGGCAGCCAGGCGAGGGAGATCGACTCACATCTTTATTTTCTGCGGGCCGCCTGTCACGGGGGACAGCTAACGTGACCCCTTTATCTCCATCTGCAGCCCCTCGCCCCGCCTCGCGCCGCCCGGCGTGGCCCGGCTGGGTATCCGGGCGGCGGGCTGCAGCAGCCTCTTCTTGGGGCCGCGGGGCGCGGCGAGGGGCGCCAGGCCCGGCGGCGCCGTTAGGG